ATAACTCCTGGATCAATGCTTGATGTCAAAAACAGAAATATAAGGGCCTGCATCAAAGATTTAGAAATTTATCGAGCTGAGTTATGATTAATTGCTAATATATGTTTTCACATTTTATATATTTCTTAGGATGATTTAAAATTTTACACTATAAATTTAAGTTCAAAGCAGCCCATGTAATATTTGTTTGGCTAATATAGCCACATATGAGGAGTGTTATGATATTTATCGCACACTAAAATATTGCATTAACATATAGCTTAAATTAATTATCGACTCACATAAAACTTTAATGGTAATAAAATAGCTTAACTTCTTAATTTCGTATAAACATTATCATGCAATTTCCTTCACTTTCTAGTTGTTTCATGTACGATATGACATAAAGTTGGAATATACATAGAAATTCAAAGTAAAATATCATCTTGCATAAAAATGTGTGAAAGTTAAATCAAGAATATGCTTGCGGAATGGAGCAAGCATATATCAAAGGATGATTGAGTGTGCATGAAGTAAAAATATGTAGGCTGGTTGACCAAAATGAGGATCCCAAATAGCATGTAGATATGCTAACAATCTAACAGATGTAGTATGAACATACATGGTAAGAACAACTCATATCATTGATATCATGCAATGAATATAGCATCTTGGTGTTCTTTAATCTTATTAATTTATTACGTTTGAGGTTCTCAAGGTAAAAATAGTAATAATAATAATAAAACTTCACAACTTCCCTTGCATTCTAGTTCTTTTTTGTTTGATTTGTCATAAATTAGAATATAATTGAAGCTTAAAGTAAATTGCTATCTTACAGAAATGTGTGTAAGTTATCAGGGATTTGTTCGTGAGATGGAGTGAGTATATATCAAAGGATGATTGAGTGGACATCGAGTAAAACTAGTAGGCGCACTGGCAATCTAACATGTTAAGTATATATATTGAAAAAGATAAAAAAAATGAAAACTGTACTAATGAGTCCATACCAGAACGGTAAGAACAACTCCAATTATTAATACAAGGTACCAATAACTAGCATCTTGGTGTTCTTCAATCTTATGTGTGATAATGGAGTTGACTTGTACACAAAATGCGGCGGCAGGACCTACAATTAATAATATGGATAGAAACAAACCCCTTACATCCGAACCAATAATCAATCTTCCTCCAAACAAGAATCTCTGTAAGAGAAAGAAAAATCATAGTATTACATAGTTTGAAGGTCTTACTCAAGGAAAAACTCGTGTGCAATGTAAAGTAGTGCTTAAACTTTTCCAAACACTCTAAAGTTATGCAAAAACTATTCTAAACGGCCAGAAAACTTAACTAGCTTACATTATTCCCCTTCCAAACTTGATAAAGCATTTTTTCTTTCGTTCTCTCTTGAGTCATTTCATCAAAAAAATGTGTATTTGGGGTAGAAAAATGTATGTGGAGTTATTCTAAAAGGGTTGAGAGTTGTGACTATCGCTTTTGGATTTTATTCTTGCTGGCGTGCTGGTTACTCCATTTTTGAAGAATGTAGAATATTCCTTGCTTTCCTTCCACACTTTTAGAGTCCTATATTAGAGTGAAAGCTAGTGTAATTTAAGCATCAAATTCAACATGTCACCCATCTTTCTTATTTTATTATAAGTACTTTTAATTTTATTTTAAGCATTTAAGAAATGATCATGGATGTTTTCCTAAATATTACATAAATAAAACTCATGACTAAAAAAATAACTAAAGTTACTATGTGTATAACGTCATGGACAACATAGTCATAATACTTGTTGAAGTGTAATGTTTGACATAATTATACTCACTAAAAATACTAACATAATTATCGGACTCACTGCATAAAACATGTAACACTTTTTGTCTAACATCTTTATTTTAGTCATATATATGTAATTTTTTCAAGTTATTATTTCATAATTATCGACTTATATAGATTTTATTATATATAGGACACGATTAATCAAAGAGCTTTTTCTTGAAACATTACCAATAAAAAATCTATGGACAAAAATGTGACTATAAGTTACTATGAGTATGTTTTGTAGTCACTATAGTGTAACATTTGAATACAATTATAGTCACTTAAGTTATCAGGATCACACTTTTGTCCACTACTTTCTTAATCAAAATATACTTAGCAGCTTCGAGAAAATATGCAGTCAACTCACCCTCTACTTTTAACCCCCTCCATTCTCTTTCTCACCTTTAACCCCTTCTTAATCCACCACTACACTAAATTAGAAGTTTAAGAGTCCGTTTGGTGATCATGTTTTTCGGCTTATCAGACTTATTAATCAACTTTTTTATCAAACACGTAACTTTTGATTCCGCGCACTGAATTGTGTAATAATAAGAAAAAATAAGGTTGAAGTTACTTTTTCTGGCTGTATTGGCTGGAGTTACTGTTGATGATCATTTTAGTTGGTTTATTCATTTAACCTTTTCTTCAATTTTTTGGAAGAATGTGGCTTATATTAAAATAACAGAACTCAAGCATGTTACAAAACGACAAAAAGTCTTCTGTCTACCCTCTGCCCTCGAACCAGACTTATAAACTATCACCTCCGTAGAAGCAATAAGATTCGCTAATCTTGTAATGGACTTAATTGAGCCAATGACAGACAACCTGGACTTCTCATCACCTGACTTAAATTCTAGAGTTTTTCATTTAGGAAGTAAAAACACACCCAAAGCAACATGCAGTTTGAAATAAAAACACAAACAAAATAAAACGGAAGTAAAACATAGTTCACTCATCTTCTTCCAAACCCTAGACACTCTTTTACTCCATGGTGGCGGTTCAGGAGGAGGACGAGCCAATGGGATCGTCTGCTCCATGCGGTTCGAGCGTCTTCCTCATCGAGCACCAGATCGTCATCCTCAGTCCCGATCTCCAGACAGTCACACTGCCCGATCCACTTTTCCATCTATCTTGCGTTCGTCGATGCCATCTCCTCACAACTTCTATCCACCTACAAAAACCGCTACCCAAATCTCCGTACTCGTCCGCACCACAGAATAATGGTGAAGAGCGATCGGCACTACGTGCAAGCCACCCAATCTCACAGATCGGCGGAAAGGAAGATCTTATTTAGAGGGAAACAGCCGTCGCAGATTTTTTGGGGAAGAGCCGTTTTGCAAGATTGTCTTGATCAATTTTCTTCATATTATTAATAAAATATATTTTAAATATATTTTTCTAATAAATAAGCACAATCCGTCAATCAAACCACTTCAAATAGAACTTCATAAATTTCAGTAGAATAAGTCAATACAACTAATTTGGGTGTTACCAAACTGTTCTAAAATATACAACTTTAAGGGTCTGTTCACTAGCAGAGATATTTTCCAGTTTTCAGCAAAACTGGAAAATTGGAAAAAAGAAAGCAGAAAACGCGTTTACCAAAGAAAATTGCAAGGAAACTGGAGAAAGGAAAACAGAGAAATGCGTTTACCAAATCGTTTTCCAAAACAAAAAAGTGAGACACGTCTCTGTTTTCCTTGATGAATTGGATAAGTAACTTTGACTAGTTTTCCAAATTTGGAAAACGCGGATGCTGTAGTGCCGCTGCAATGAATTTGCATACTTACGCCTAATGATGGATACGATCCCGCTCCGATGTTAGTTCTAGTCCGATCCGGCTAACGATCCGATGATCCCTATCTGGTCTGATCAATGACCCAGCAGTCCGGACCGGTATTGAGCCTGCAATCCTAGTCAGTCCGGTCGACGGCCGAGCAACCGATCCGGGTCCGGTCGATGACCAGATGATTCTAGTCCGGTCTGGTCGACAACCCGGTGGTCCCTGTCCGGTCCGATCCACAACCCCGCGGCCCCTGTCCGGTCCGATCCTCGACCGACGGTCCTTCTCTGATCTGATCGATGACCCGACGATCCCGTGCTGGTCCAGTTCGATCCAGCCCGGTCCGGTCGACGACTTGGGATGTTTTCTTTTGGACTGAAATTTGCTGGTCTAGTCTGGTCTAGTCTGTTTAAGTCTGGTCTGGTCTGGTCTGAAGTCTCTGAACTGGTCTGGTCTGGTAAACGTCTGGTCTCTGTGTATTTTATAACTAAGAAATTCAAATCTGGTATGGTCTGTTTAAGTCTGGTCTGGTCTGGTCTGTTTAAGCCTGGTCTGGTCTGGTCTGGGACTGAAAACAGTTCAAAAGAAAACATCATTAACGATCCCCATCCGCTCCACGACCCGGCGGCCCCTGTCCGGTCCGATCAATGACCCTACGCTTCTTGTCTTGTGCGGCCAATGACCAAGCGATTTGTGTTCGGTCTGATGGATAACTGGGCGGTCCCGGTCAAAATGGTCAATGACCCAACGGTCCATGTCCGGGCCGGTCAATGACCCTGTGGTTCAGTCTTGGTTTTTTGAAAACATGCTTAAAGTAAAGAGTTTGAAAGAGCCGTTTAATTGTCAACTAACAGAGAAATGAAAAAAGAATTTGTCAAACTAACCATTGAGATCGATCGAGACCAACCGATTTTGATCCCGACTTTCCTATACGTGAGACCTGATACCTTACTTGGGTTGTACTAGGCTCAGTTCTAGACTGGTACCATACTTTCAGTTTTCTGGGCTGTCACAAAACCAGGTGAAAATTTTGATGAACATGTTTTTCAGATTTGAAAATGGAAAACTAAAAAATGAAAACAGAAAATTGGAGAAAGAAAAACAGGAAAATGAAAACAGAAAATTTGAGAACAGAAAAGAGAAATAGAAAACTGGAAAATATATCTGTTAGTAAACAAGCTCTAACATTTTCACTCTTAATCCCCTACCACTATAAATGGGCCACTTAATTTGGTGAAGTTGGGCCACCCTGACCCGACTAGCAGCTTCGAGAAAATAGGCGGTGTTTTTACTGTCAACCATCTGTTAATGGATTAATTAACAAATCATCATTACCTTAGCCCGGCAGGGATGACGTACACGGTACGCCGTCTTTTCCCGCGCTTATATACCTCACATACTCCGTATTTTGCTGATAACAGAAATCAGGTGGCGGGAAAATTTTAGGTCCCACCTGGGCCATCTTAGTGATAGAAATAGAAATAGAGGTAATCAGCTGACGGAAACCCTAGCCTTCTCTCTCGCAGGAGCAATCAAATCAAGAGCTTTTCTCCAGAATTCCCATTCTTTCGATTGAAGAGGCCTGGTCTGTTAGTGTTCGATTGGCTGTATTATCGACCGGTTTGCAAGAAAGCTTTTTTTTTCCGGCGGCGGCAGCGGCGGGGAATTGATATCGAATATAAAGATGGCTTCATCATCATCAGCATCCACTCCTACTCGATTGGGCAGCAGCAGCAGCAGCACGGCTACAATGTCCACCGCCACGTGGCTGCGCACCGTCATAGATCCGCTTCCATCGAAGCCATCGCCCGATCTGGAGAGATTCTTGTCTTCATGCGATAGGGATGTAACGGGTGATGTGATTCGCAGGGCTCGGATCATACTCGAAGCTATCTTCCCTTCTCCGAGCGGTCCTTGTTCTTCTCCGGCTGAGGAGTGTATGCCTGTCGGAGCTGAAGCCAGGAGCAACGCAAGCCTTCAGAGCAGTAACTTAATGGACAATAAGTGGGCTGAACAACGTCGATCTGAAGCTCTTAAGCTTTACTATAAGGTCCTGCAGGCTATGTGTGTGGCAGAGTCCCAAGTTTTGCGGGGAGGTAATTTAACTTCTTTGCTGACTAATGAGAGATTCCATAGATGTATGCTTGCTTGTTCGGCGGAGCTAGTTCTTGCCACCCATAAGACCACTGCAACTGTGTTGTTTCCGGCTGTTCTGGAGAGAACGGGAATCATGGCTTTCGACCTCAGTAAGGTCATAGAGAGTTTCGTTAGACACGAGGACAGCCTTCCTCAAGAGTTAAGACGGCACTTGAATTCTCTAGAGGAACGACTTTTAGAGAGCGTGGTTTGGGAGAAGGGATCTTCTATGTACAACTCTTTGACTGTAGCAAGGCCGACCCTTTCTGCAGAAATTAATCGTCTTGGTTTGTTGGCTGATCCCATGCCTTCACTGGATGCTATTGCAAACATGTCTTCCGCAATTTTACCACCAGTGCCATCATTTCTGAAGCCGGAGAATAGCCCAGGTATGCATTTGACATCTTACTACAATTTTCTAACTTTTATACTATTTTAAAAAGCTTGTCTTTTCTTGGACATCATTGACCAATCTACAGTTTCTTAGATTGTCGCTAATCAAACTTTGAATAAATAATGGATTATACTTACTTTAATTTTTTTTTAATTTGTTTAACTAAATGTGTTGTATGTAACTTTGTTGTGACTATCTGGGATTGAGTTTTGGACGACTTGCATGAAGTGTTAACTTGTATGATCATATTGAATGCCTTTTTTGTCATTTCTTGGATAAAATGTATGAAAAATTAGCTCCTTTTGATCAAATTGATTTTTTGGGGGACAAATAAGTGCTTGAGCAGGATTTTTTGGACAAAATTAGCCTCTTTACTTCTATTGCGTATATAAAACTGGAAGTAGCGTGATTTCTAATTCCCTTACACCTTAGTGAAATTACTTCCAGATGAGTTTTGAATTTGGATGTTCAAATATACATTAACCTTTGACTTAAGAATGAAGAATGTTTGAGATCATGTAAAACCTTTTCTTTTGCCTGGCACATACTGGTGGTTACACAACTTGCCTTTATTTCTAACATATTATATATTGATGTATGTCAGGTCAAAATATTGACATGAGGTCACCCAAAAGACTCTGCACTGAGTATCGAAGCTTGTTGGTGGAGCGAAATCCCTTCACGTCACCCGTAAAGGATAGACTTTTGGCGCTCAATCATTTGAAAGGAAAACCTCCCCTACCTGCTTTGCAGTCTGCATTTGCAAGGTACTATCATCAATACCACCCATAGAACCAAGCCTTTGCTGTCATTGCTTCTTCTTGAGTAAGTTGAACTTTGATATTTTTTGCAGCCCTACGAGACCAAATCCTGGCGGTGGAGGGGAAACATGTGCAGAAACAGTTCTCAGTGTATTCTTTAGCAAGGTACTTCTATACATGTATCCATAATAATTCTATAGACAATTGACAAATCAAGCAGGACAAGGATACTTTCACTTAACAATATGTACCCCCCATCTATCCACCACAGCTTTTCCTTTGTCTGCTTGTATGAGTGCATTTTGAGCATTGCCTTTTGAGTTAAATTTATTGATTCCAGTATAACCTCCTCAAAGAAACACAACCGGTACTTCTTAAGATGCAAGAGCAACTTGTTTTGAGTTTGAGCCTTTCAGTTTTAGGCATTACTTCTTGAGCTGTTTTCCTTTGTGTTTGATTCATCAGTGCATTCTTTACTTTGTATCCCACTTATATGTTTGGAAGTTGTGTGCAATAGTATGGGAAAAGAAATGAAGGCCCCCTTTGGAATTTACATATCCAGAGTACTCTTTAGTTTCTGCTTATGAGATTGAATTAATCAACTGATAAACCAAAGCTAACTGTTCAATTCCCAATTATCCCTGACAGGTTTTATTTTTATTTATCTTTCCTTTCGAAGTGTTGTTAGATTGGTAAAGTTATTTAGGAGTCTCTTGATATTTGGCCAGTCTTCGTTGCATCTTAATTTCCAATTGGAATCCCTTCAAATAGGAAGCTGCAATTTTGGAACAATCATTTAATAATTAATTCAATGTTTTTGAATGGGAAACTTTTCATTCAATCATTGACACTATCTTGCTGTGTGTTTCTTGCATGTGTAGTGCGGATTTTAACTATACTAGCTGTATCAAATTCAAAAGCACTGGCCTTGATCTACCACACTGGTTGATTATTAACTTCATTGAAATAAATTGTATGTCTTTTCCCAGATTTCAAAGTTGGCTGCTGTGAGAATTAGTGGCATGGTTGAACGCCTACAGCTTTCTCAGCAAATAAGGGAGACCGTGTATCATCTTTTCCAAAAAATTCTTACTCAACAGACTACGCTGTTCTTCAACCGCCATATTGACCAAATTATTCTTTGTTGTTTCTATGGTATTGGCAAGGTAGTTATCAGTTGGAAGTAACAATTTAAAGCTACCGCTTTCTGATTTCCCTTACTTATATGTACTCTTCTTGTGTCATTGCTGCAGATTTCCCAGCTTAACCTAACCTTCAAGGAAATAATATGCAACTACCGAAAGCAACCACATTGCAAAACACATGTTTTTCAAAATGTTTTTGTTGATTTGGCATCAGCACAACGCAATGGGGTTTGTGTCTCTCTTTCCACTTTTTCCTTACAGCACTTTTTGGAATTTCTAATCATTTTAAATAATTCTTAAACAGAAAACTGGTACCGATCGCATTGATATTGTATCATTTTACAATGGAGTTTTTATTCCTGCTGTTAAACCGCTTCTGATTGAGCTTGGGCCTACTGGAGCATCTCAACAGAGTAACAACAATGCAGGAGCTAAGGATAGTAGCAATGGTAGGTCATCTTCTTTGAGTTACTTCTCTCACTGTCTTTCGGACATTCATTTCCTTTTTTCACTTCTCATTTTGTTGTTTTGGGGATGCTGGGGAATTCCACTTCTCATATGTTTTTTCTTTGCAATTCTTTGTTGTGATATATGGCCTACCGTATTTATTATAATCATATGTGTCAACCAGGTCAATCTCCTGTATCACCCAAGACATCTCCTTTTCCAAGTCTACCTGATATGTCTCCTAAGAAAGTATCTGCTGCTCATAATGTTTATGTCTCCCCGCTCCGATCTTCAAAGGTAGGACTACTGTTCTCTTGTATAATTGCACTGTGAAGTATCTAAAAATATCAGTTCTGTCATTGAGAAAACCTTTCCGTATAAAATCCCCATGCCAAAACCTTTCTCCCCTTAGTGCATATTAATATTTCCGCATTAAAACGACAATTCAACATGCCAGATTATTTTGCTCAAAACTTTCAGAAATTGCATATTGATCTTTTAAAGGCCTTCCGTCATATCTTCATGGCACTTGACCGCTATGTGATTGTGAAAATTGTGAGATAAGATGTGAAAATTTCTTGGTTGAACCAGTTCTTATGTTTATATGAAGTGAATGTAGAGATTCTCCTAGTTGTTTCTCTATTATTTTATTTCATAGCATATTGACATGTCCCTAAATCAGAGTGCAATTTGCTTGATAATTTGTATTCTGAATGCATCTATCGATTCTGTTTTCCTATAGCAGGAAGTTCTAATCATAGTCACATGGTTCGCGGTACGATTCGATACTGGAACGAGGAACGGGAACGCGGTTCGCTAGATCTAGCGTATCCGATTCGGAGGGGGGTAGGTTCATTTCGGTACGCGTTCGGTACGATGTACCATAAGTTCGGTACAATGTACCTAATATTTTGGTACTATAATAAAAACATAAAAATGAATTATAGAATACAGAATTACAGATTTCACCATTGAACAAAAACAGCTTTCATAACATGATTTCATTACATTAAACAAAAGCAAAAACATTAATATTCAGTTAATTAAAATGTAAAATTGATGAGTAGGAATAATTAGGATCAGAAAACGAAGAGCTAGTTGGGACTTGGGAATCGGTACGCCTATTTTAAAACGAAGTGTACTGATTTTAAACTTCGCGTCTCAAACGAGTCAAACCAAACGACGATTAATTTTTTATTTCAAATACCGATCGATGGGGATACATACGCGGAACGACCTGCGTTGAGTTACCGATCGCGATTGAAGACGACTGAGGTCGTATCAGACAACGTTTGAGATCGCTTCCAGATGCGTTTGGGATCGACTGGCACACCGTTCCGGAGAGCGTTCCATGCTGCGTTCGGATCGCGTTCGTACCGTGATTCGGTACGAAGCGTTCGGTACGTAGATCGCGGGTAGTTTAGCGATTTATGTATCTATGGTTCTAATTCAAATTGTATTCTTGCCTATAGGTGATTTCCACAATTTGACTGTTTCCTGATCTTTGTTTGCAGATGGATGCTCTAATATCACACAGTTCTAAAAGCTATTACGCTTGTGTAGGTGAAAGTACTCACGCCTACCAAAGCCCTTCAAAGGACCTGACCGCCATCAATAACCATTTAAACAGGTGCATATTGTTGTTACTTGATAGATACATCCAATATACTTTAAATTTCCTCTGTGAATATGTTAACTAAGATTAAACCAAATGGAAAATTTTCAGCAGCAGAAAGTTTAGGGGTGCACTCAATTTTGACAATGTGGATGTTGGATTGGTGAGTGACTCTCTTGTAACAAATAGCCTTCTTTTGCAAAATGGAAGCTGCGGATCTTCATCTTCTCCACCTGTTAAATGTGAGCCGCCAGATTCATGAGTCTCTACTCTCTGCCTGAATGATTCCCATGTAAATGTTTTTTTCCTTCTTAGTTTAGCTCTTTGCCATGCTATATTCTTTTTTTTAAGGCAATGGCAGTGTAAAGAGGGCTTTAGGGCTTATATCACATGTGCCTTCCATGATTCCATCTTTGCCTGTAATCTCACTGTTGTAGGTTTTGTCTAATACTCCACCTAATTTAATAAATACAGAGTAATAAATAATAAGATGAGGTCGCCCTTCACTTAATATTGCTTAATGAGATGTATACTACTAAGGGGCACTTGATCTGCAGTGTGCCTGAGCACGGAATGAATATCTTTATCTATATAAAGAAAGAAGAGGAAAAATACCATTTCTCACCTAAATCACAGGCGAAATTTCGGGAAAAACAGGTCCAAACGTGTTTTTGTGTTGTAGTTTGAGAATTTGCAAGGTTCATTTGATCCTGTGTGTAATAAGATGTCCACAAATGTAACGGAACATAATTTAAACTATTGTTCCACGAGAAGGTTAATGTCATCTAAAAAAGGTATGATACCCATCTCTGAGGTACTCTAAGATGGTAAGACAAGACTGGTCATGAGAGATGTAAGTTGAGCTTTGATCATAGATCGGGGATGGGTGGAGAGGCGGGGATTGGTGGAGAGGGAGTGGAGATGAACTTGATCATAGATCGGGGATGGGTGGAGAGGCGGGGATTGGTGGAGAGAGAGTGGAGTTTCATCTGACACTTTTCCCACCAGCTGAGTTACGTTGGCAGGTTAATCTCATCTGCACTTTGTTTTTTGTTTTTTTAATCTCATCTGCACTTTGTTTTTTGTTTTTTTGCATAAGATGTATTTTTTTTTTGAAAGATTAATATTAATTGTTATTAATCAAATCATTGTTCAATACATCAATAATGAAAGACGGGGGAATCTAAAAAGTAGAGTACATATTTCACGTTTCTATTAACGGTCATGTACTCAGGTATATGGGGTGTTTGGAACTGATTCTACTTCTGCTTTTTTTAAGAAGCAGAATCATAATCAGTTTTCAAAAGATGGTCACCCCGGCTTCTACAAAAATTGATTCTGGGAGTAACTTAGAGCATCAGAATCACTTTTGCACTTTCACCCAAACACTCTAGTTTCTGTTTCTACTCCCTGAAGGAGCAGAAACAGTTTTAACAATCAGATCCAAACCCCTTTATTATGCCACATGCTGTAAGAATGACATAGTCAGTCAAGACTAAGCAATTGCACTTTTAAATTGTAAAATCTAGAATGTTTGTTTATTAACTTATTGTTTGACGAGTTTGACAACTTCGGTATGTGTACAGGCGTACAGCGTACTATTGTGGTTTTAGATTTTGGTGAATAGTGATGTGTTTTAAATAATCATACTACTCGGGCTTCACCTAACAACAATTGAGACGGGTCCACCCTAATTTGAAGAATAGAAATTACTCATTCATTGTCAAGGTCATTGATCAAGCAAAATAGTCGAAACTGACTCTCGCTATTAATTAATATGGAGTAAAAAGTATTAAACAAGGTTTATATTATTCATATAAAAAGGCATTTACCAGATCAGACCAATTCAGACCAGACCAACAAATTTCAGTCCAAAAAAAACATTATAGGGATACAAAGCCAAATGTAACAGTCGTTTAACCAAACACTTTTCACTTTTATTAGTTGATTGATATGGCCAAAAGGTTAATCGCGGTCAAATAAATAAAAAAAGTCTGATAGGCCCCTAACCAAACATCCCTTAATATTCTGGTATAAAATTAATGGTCTTAGGAAAACCATTGTTTCACAAATTTGTGAATCCCAATAAATAATCAAATATCATATTTCGATAGGTTATATGATGTCAAATAGTTACTTTGTATTATTTGTGTCATATATATATTTGGAATGTGAATAGTTTTTTTTAATAATATTCATTAAAATTTGTTTATCAGAGATAATCTATAATTTTATATAGAGAAACCGAGTTATTAAAGGATGATGTGTCATTCATTCATTACTAACAAATTTAATATTTAGCACCACATTGAAAACATTATTACATTTAATAATTTACTTACAGAAAAATAGTAAATTAAATTTGGACTTTTAAATAGGACACCAGAAAAATAGTGAAGTGAACTCTCTTATGGCGGGATTCTTTTAGGATTATTAAATAATTAATTCAAAGTTCTAGACAAATAGATACTATACAGTATACATACAAATCTAGATAATGAATTAGCTTTATGTTAAAAATGTTTGTTTTATAACAATTTGTTATACAATTTTTGAATAATTTTAATCGCACTATTTTAGCAATTCCTTTTTATTTACGATATTGATGTAATGATCTAGGGATCACTGAATTAGCTTACAAAACTATTACGGAGTATTTAAAATGTTAAGTTAAAAATATTTCTATAACTATATATATAGAAATTGTTTGTCATCAAAATAATTTGATCGCAACACCTTAGTCCATAGTTTCTTTGAAGTTTTTCGTAGTGTGATAGTTCAATACTTCTTCTTTCCATAAAATTCTTTCCATTTTGATTTGAATAAGAATTTAAGAAAGTGAGAATAAAGTGAACATCATGATTCTGGTTGTGTAAGAAAAAAATAAATAAGTGTTAGACACACAAATCATTTCAAAAAGGGAATTGAGAAGATTTTTTTGGGACATCCCAAAATGGCAACTAAGGAATTTTATGTGTGGAGGCAGTACTATTTAATGACGAATTGTAGCCCCTTGAAACTGTAATTAAAATCCCTTTGTATAAAAAAAATATTAATAATAGCACTCATCAAATTTACACATGTAAGCTTATTAATAATTCCAACAAATGAATGAAATACAGAAAAATAATCATCAATAAACGATGACATCACAATTTTTATGAAGAATTTATTAATTACTTTTAGTTCTTTTTAGGCAGCATATATAATAATATACTCCGTAAATGTATAGATTGTTTGAAAGAGTTGGAACGAATCCGTACCGGAACTGGATTTCAATAAGTCGGTCCTGAGATGGCGCAAATTATACCGTGGGATCGGCCCACCGTGCGCACGGTGTGCCGATCCCAAACGGCGCCGTTTTAATTAATGAAAATCACTCAACCGGTGGAGCCGTGCCCTAACGCGCAGATTCGATTTGGAGTCGGAAGAAGCCATCGCCGGAAGTTGTCTACTGGGTCTCGATTAATTAATACTGAAGCCGTACACTGTCAAGCTATATCGATGTTTTCTCTGCAAGCTTCTCCGTATATGGACACTTCTGGATGGTGGAAGAGAAAGCTCTGCTACAAATTAAAGCATCTGGGAGCTGCTATCTGCTCCCAACCGCCGATCGATCCAGAGCCTGACAAGGGGATGAGGATTTTAGCTTCTGGCTCCTAAAGCAGGGAGTGAGTTTAGCAGGGAGTGGGTTTTTGCATCGGGGATACCCATCCTTGGCCTATCGAAGCTATCAAGTGTTGTCTTTGTAGATTTACATTGGCTTAAAAATATTACATTTTTATTAAAGAGATTTACATTTCTGCTTATCTGGAGTTACATATCTATTAGTGTGAGTTACATTTCAATTTTTCTCAATAAGTTACATCTTGATTACACTTGATTTACATTTGACATGCTGCAAGTTACACCACAAAACAATGTAAGTTACACAACAAAATAAACCTCTGTTATTCAATAAAAAATGATTTTCTAATTAAAAGTCATTTTTAATGAACATAATATTAAAAAGAAAACATATGCACTATTTATGTAAAATAATTCGATAATTAGACTCCTTTTTCTCATTAAGCATAAGTTACATTTCAGGACACAAGTTACATATGTTGTAAACTGAAGTTACACTTGTAGCAACACGAGTTACATCTAATTATGCACAAGTTACATCATTCATGTTACTGAGATGAAAATAAAAAAAACAAGTACTGGAGAAGTTACTGTTCACGCGTGTACTGTTCACGCGATTTTTTTTAAAACTGATTAAAATTATGTCGTTTTGTGGGGTGGAGCATGATGCTCACCGTGGGATGATCCCACGGTATACGAACTGCTGAGATGGGCTCCACAAATTTTCCCCTGGGACCGGGACTGAACTGTTCCAAGTCCACATCTAATTAGAAGTTGAAAGTTTGGAACTCCCATGTTGAGAAGGTTGTCTTGCATTTCTTAACACAGAGAATGACATTGCATTTTGGAATACTATGCTCTACTCATATGAGCTGTTTGAGATCAACATATTTTATTTGAGATAAGCATATTCATGATATAATAATAATTATTTTTTATAATCAACCATTCAAGTACATAATAAGAATAATATGAAATCTCTTTTCAACCTCACATTCGATAACATCATGAAAAATTTATACGGTTATATCAAACCATCAAATAAATCTTATTTGATTACAATTCTATTTGTCCTGAAAATATAATTACAAATGATTTATGTCTTAAAGAAAGGAGAGCACTTTTAAATCATATACGTAGTATCATCTAATCAACTAGTGTATCACCATGGACATGCCTCAATAGTGTTACTTTGATATGAATTAAATTAGTAAATATCAATAAGAGTTGTGAATTATTTACAGAATCAGACAACACTATGTAAATAAAAGAGAATATGTGTACTAATATTCTATTAAGTGATGAGAATAGAGATTTCAAAACATTAATGTGCTTATGAATTGTTTTGTTTTTTATTTTATTTTATTTTATATTTCGTATTTAGTATTATTTTTGTTTAATGTTCATGCACATGCCAATGAAAAGAGTTCACACCATAGCAAGCATAATAAAAACACCAGGGAGAAATGACAATATTAATTTTCTGTGCATTATCCACGGGCTTTACGATTACGAAAATTATACATATTGAACGAATTCTTTGTAAAAAAATATTAGTGTTGTTTGACTTGGTGAATTTAAGTTCAAATATATGAAAGGGCAAACAAAAGCCCCGTGCATTACTTCTGGTGTCAAATGTTTGATGTTATATCAAATTTTGCTATAAAATGTCTTTCTCAATGTTATATTACAAAAATTATGTGATACATTTTATTATACAGAGTATGTAAGACCCCTTGAAATATAAGTTAAACTTATGGAAAATAAATTAAACCCATCAAAACACTTCATGGAACATACAATTATAGTCCATAATGAGATAACATATATGAAGTGCATGCACAAAAAATTCTATCATCATTTTACATTAAAAATGTGCAAAAATACAAAAAAAAAAATTTGAGTGAATAACATTTGAATAATTAACACGTTAAAACTTATTGTTTCACATTTACAAGTCGAAAGACGTAACAACAAACCGCGAATTACAACCTGTTACAAATTTAAAAACATTGAAGTAGTACAAATATTACAATGATAGGTGATAGCTCGTCGGAATACCACTGGTGGTAATACATCTAAAGAGAATAGAGAACTACTAGTAGAGAGAAAAAGTATCACTTGAATCAATGATATGTGAACCGTTTACATATGCTCCAAGGGGGTATTTATACTACTAATAAATACTAGATGCATTAAATGCGTGTGCGCGCACACACATGTAAGCTGCTCTATGAGCAGAAGCCCTGTTGTGCGGTAGAATGCGACGTGTGGTGTTTGTTGATAATCTGTTGAGTAGCGGACGAGGTGATCATGTCCTCATCCTTGTTGTCCCGTCGCCTTGGGACTAACTTTTGTCTGGCTAGGTCTTCTGTGTTGGACGAGGTGTTGGAGGCTGAGGGGCCAGTACGCATCGAGGTGTTGGCCTAGTGTATCTATGTGGTCCTTTTGATGTTCCAGATTGCTTGTTGGTATGGACACTCGACAGGGGAGGGGGGCTGTTCAGATGCTTTGTTTGGGCTGTTTGTATGTATATGAGTATGTGGGTTGTGAGCCTAAGCCCACATACTCTATCCGTATGCACAAAACCTTTGTCAATATGAAAATAGTGCATAACATTTGAATAATTAATATACAAACACATTACTTATTCATTGTTAGCTTTGTTGAGTAATGAATGCCTTCACAGTTTATTGTTGTATTATAACCGTTGCTTTCATGTTATCCCAAATACAATTTTTTTTCCAGAATGAAGTCATTGTGCATAAAATATGTCATTTGACATGTTCTTATAGATAGTGTGGGGACTTGACATTGACTCACATAGCTTGCACAACAAAGATGAGAAAATTGAAGATAAAAATGATAAACACAAATATAACAGAGTAATAGTGTAGAATGCAAGATTTGTAGAGGAAGATGAGAACTTAGATAGTTGATGTGTATAAAAAATGAAAAGAGTGATATGTGTTTAGAGTTTTTGCCCACCCACTTTCATCCCCAACGGTCAAAAGAGCTGTTCGGGGGGGGGGGGGGGGGGTGGTGGTGGTGGTGGTGGTGGTGGTGGTTGGTTGGCTCCAAAGAGCCGTTGGTAGTTAGCCAATAGAGCAAAGGAAAAAAAGAGTAGTCCTTAGGGACTTGACCGGAACCGGCTAGTTTCAGCGCTACGGTGAGTGTGTACGTGTACATGAAGAAGAGATAAGAAGGTTGAGAAACGAGACCTGATTGTATGGACTATGGACAACACCTAGGAATTAGAAGTTGTTCAATTTGTCTGATCTAAATGCTTCTGATCTAATCTCATCTACTTTTTTTTTGAGCCAATTGTGTCATTTCTGATTTGATATGAATCTCTCTAATCTGATTTGAATATTCTGATCCGATTGAGTTTTCATTACTTCCTTTGTCCATCAAACTTTGTCAAATTTGATTGGCACTGGAAATAATAAAGCAAAAATTGTATGATTGATATTTGTGTAGAAGAAATAGAAAAAATAGGAACAAAAAATTCATTGATTAAAAGAGAAAATTACAGTTTTTGGGACAAGAAAAAAAAGAAAAGATGACAAAGTTATAAGAGACGAAACGAGTGTTATTATTAATTTATTATTAATATTAGTTATAATAATAAGTATAATTATAATTATAAATATAACCATAATTATAATTACAATTACAGCTATAACTATAATTAAAATTATCATTATTATAATACCAAAAATAAAAACAATAATAAAAATAATATTATAAATAATAATAGCAATATTAATAATATTATAAGTAATATATCACATCAGAACTTTTGTGATTGGATCTGAATCTTTTTAATTTGATCCGAATCTTTCTGTTCTAGTCTAAATCACTATGATTTAATTTGAATCAGAATTTTCCTAATTTAATCTGATTTGATCTGAATAAAATAAAAATAATTAATTAGTAATAATAAGAATAAGAAGATGAGAACAATTTTCCATTAAAAATAGAACACACCAACTCCTCAAATTTAGTTTTATTTAGGAGTGTTTTGTTATTTTCAGATTTAAGGATTTTTTATGTCCAAATTAAAATGTAGATATACATTTTTTTATAAGTAATATTTCCGTGATTAGTTTTTTTGGTTATTTTGAAGAGAATGATGCTTATAAGGATTTTGCAAATTGCGTTTTTTTTTAAATATTTTACAAAATACTAATTAATCTAAAAAACAAGAATTAATACACTCTTCCGTCGATCCAAAATGAACGTTGAGGATGTCTTCAGGGCTCAGGCAAACGAAGGAAGAAACAAAACACAAAGTCGGATCGGAAAAACATTAGTCAGCGGCAGTTATTTCCAGCACGCGAGCCGGTTGATCTAGCCTACAATAATGAGGACGAACGGCAACAACCTCCGGTGGTCGTGTGATTTCCGGTACCTTCTTATTTTAGCTGCCCTGACCTTCATTTACATCCAGGTATTGTTTCTGTTTCCTTTCTTCTCCGCCCCAAATCCCCCTGTCACTGTTATAATTGCTTCTTCTGGATGTCCTTTTCTTCACTGCGGCGTAATGTGCAATGTGAAATGTTTCATTTTTTCACCACCGACCCATTATTTGCTGTTAAAGTGCATATCTTTCCCTTGTGCTCTCGGAATTATATACTATGATCAAGTTGATAGTAGTTAGTCATATCAGTATAATTACATCCAATTGGATACTCTCTCCTTCCCAGATGCGGCTTTTTACTACACAGTCTGAACACGCTGATCGACTTGCAGCTGCAGTATGTTTTTCTGGGCTTTTGTTCCTCTTTGAGTATCTGTGCTATTTAGTCAAAGTTAGTTCTTGCTTGTAACATGGATTTCCATAGATAGATGCAGAAAAGCACTGTACAAGTCAGACAAGATCACTCATTGACCAGATTAGCCTGCAGCAAGGACGAATTACTGTGCTTGAAGGTACGTTTTTGTATTGGTGCTAAGTTACAAACTTCACTTTTACTTTTACCTTTTCATTTTCGTCTTCGGGCAACTTCTCCGTTATTTGATTCTATCAGCTGACCGTTTGCATTCCGTGTATTGTGCATACAAATCATGAATCAGTATACATACTAATTCGGTGATTATTAATATTCCAATTGTGTATGCTCATGGAAATTACTCCAATAAGTGTTCATCTGTTATGAATGGTGAATTCAAGAGATGATGGTGTTCTTTTTTGGTTCTCCTTTTGTCGGAGGGGTAGGGATTGTTGTTTTTGGAGTTTGGAAATATGTCTCTTGATAATACCAAAAAAATGTAATATACGTCACCATTAGGATGCTTGGAGATAAATTTATACACAAACAGATTGAGAGTAGTTTTATGTTCTATACCTAGTCCCTGCTGAGAAACAGATACAGAATATTCTAGAATCTCGATATATCCTCTTTACTAATTTGAAAACATTTTCTGAACATTAAAATTTTGCACTATAGGAATCAAGTATTGTTAGTAGCCAACTATCCGTATTTATAGCTCCATGATATTATTTGCAGAGGAAATGAAGCGCCAAAGAAAAGAGTGCCAGAACCTAAGAACTCTTGTTCAAGATCTGGAGAGTATGTTCTTGCAAAATAAAGGATCGGTGATTTTATACTTCTTTTGTTTTAAGACCCTGCCTCCTTAAGAATTATTTGCCTGATTATGTCTACCCTTTATTATATTTTAACACACAAATTAGAGAATAAAGAATTTCCTCAGACTTGGTTTCTTATCGACCACATAGCTTCTTATCTAAATTAAACCTTGTGATCGTGAAAGTGTGTTTCTCGTGTGGCAGGTACAGGCTTGCAGAAGTTTGTTAGCAGTATCCAGGTCACATAAATTTGAAGTGCCTCGCTTATTATTCATTTGAAATTATTTTCTAGCACTTTCACTGCAACAGTATTATGTTATTAGTTAATATTAATAATAACTAAATTAGCCAGGATCCAGTGGCAGCTGTTGTTGTCATGGCTTGTAGTCGTGCTGACTACCTCAAAAGGACTATTCAGTCTATTCTAAAGTATGTTTTATTTGTTAGAATTCAGCAAGGTGTTTTAGTTGAGGTGGGGATATTTTCAACTTACGTTTGTTAATTTTTTTTATTAACTTTAGACACCAGACTTCTGTTGCCTCGAAGTTTCCCCTATTCGTATCCCAGGTAATCAGTGATATTGTTGCAGATTAACATTGACATATTTTTTTCACATGAAATTAATGCTGCAGTACAAAATCTTTATTCCATCTATTTGCAGGATGGTGCACATCCTGATGTTAAAAGGCTAGCTCTGAGCTATAATCAGTTGACATATATGCAGGTAATGGTCTATGATCCTACAGAAAGGGGTAAAAGGGGAAATCAAATATAACGGTTTATGCTCTTTCTTAGGGATACACAAAAGCAGATCATAATCTAGCTAAAGTAAAAACACTAAAGTTTAAAGGCATGCCTTTGACTTACTTGGTTTAACATGTAATAGTAATAAATCTTAATAGTAATATTAATAGTATAAACATTGCAATTACAATTTGGCAATCACAGTTGGGAGGAACTGCAAGTTCCACCATTGGTAATCATTAATAGGTATTGCAGGAGTTCCTAGCTATATGCCTCATGTTATGGCGTTTTTGCATTTATAACGACAAAGAGTCAACAATAATAATAATGATCAAATTGTATTTCATAATAACTATCATGTGCATATTAAAATTATATGAATATTAGTGTAATATAATTTGAACATTAATATTACAGAAGTGATCTGAACAACATTGTAAGATGTAACCAAATATGAAGTCAATGTTATAAACCCTCCTGTTCTAAACGTCTTCATCCTATACTGTCGCCAACACTCACGCTGAGCGTTAAGTGGTGACAATATGTCCCACCCGACCTATCCACAACTATTAACTCTTGTGCTAAAAATTATTAATCAACATGTAGCAAAGTAAAAACTACTCCCTATCGTTCCACTAAGTTTGGGACAATTGAAAATGACACAAATTAAGGAAAAATGTATTGGTAAGATTGATATTGGATTACTAAAGTATTCATGATTATTACTTATTACCCACACATATGGTATGGGACAAACAGAAAAAGCTACTCTGCTATAATTGCTATTCTTGCTAAAAGGATTGACACACCCGTTCTTACTTTTTATACAGCACTTGGATTATGAACCAGTGCATACAGAAAGACCAGGGGAAATTATTGCATATTACAAGATTGCACGTAAGCAATTTCTCATCCTTATCGCAAATTATGTCCCCAACCCCCTACTCCAAAATATATTAGTTACTAAGTTACTGGTATCTGCTCTTAGGTCATTACAAATGGGCATTGGATAAGCTGTTTTACAAGCACAATTTTAGCCGTGTTCTCATACTTGAAGGTACCATAAGATGTCTTATCAGTTTGTGGCTCTTTCTTTGCTCTTATATTTACTGTACATGCATTCATGGCATGCAGATGATATGGAAATTGCCACTGATTTTTTTGATTATTTTGAGGCTGGAGCTACTCTCCTAGACAGAGATAAGTAGGACATTTTTCTTGCTCTCCAGTCAATATCCTTTTAAGTATTCAGAGCAGGATGTAAAAGTCTCAATGTAATTTCACAATTCAATTTCCTGGGATGATTTAGGTCAGTTATGGCTATTTCTTCATGGAATGACAACGGACAGAAGCAATTTGTTAAAGATCCTTGTAAGTTTTTTACGCCTGCTCATATTTGAATCAGTTTTTAGTTTGATACTACATTATCCCTTTCTTCAGTTCTTGCGACTAAGGTTTATCTTCACATAATATTTTACTGAGCTTTTCATAGTTATCGTGTATCTTTGTTCCACATCCTAGATGTTGCTTTGTCATGATTCTGAGCATTTTTGTCCACTGTGGCAACCTTTCATCTATGATGATCTCATTTTCTTTGTTCTTGAATGTTTTAGTGGCCTTATTTCTTATGTTCAGAGTAAAAACGCTCTCTTATATGTTTTGACTTAAATTCTTTGTGTCAAGTTTCAAGCTAAAACATTTCCTCTGGTGCCTCTTAGGGATTTTGAGGTGTTCAATTCTATTTGTTACTCTCTCGGACTCTATAAAATGGCCCATCTCCTTTAATATATATAGGGTGCGATTCCAATGAGAACGATGCTTAAAGTGAGAACAATCGCATTTAAATAAATGTGGTGCACAACGGAGCTCTTCTGTTGCACAATTTTTAACTTTGCTCAAATTCAGCCATATTAAATAAACACGATGGCATTTTGGTAAATATTATGACAACACGAAAAGTGCAATAGACGTGCTTTAATGTGCATCATGTTGAGGTAAACGTGGCGTTCTCACGTTAAGCATTGTTCTCATATGATCCAAATTATGTGTGTGTGTGTGTGTGTATATATATATATATATATATAGAGAGAGAGAGAGAGAGAGAGAGAGAGAGAGAGAGAGAGAGAGAGAGGACAGATCAGATCAGGTCGGCTTGGCGGGAACCGCCGTCAGGCCGAGGCCATTTGAGCCCTTCCCTGTGGAATTATTTGATGAAATTTTTTGAGCATGTTCTTCATCAAGTCTAGTTTATTCATACCAAATTTCAGTTAAAAATTCAATCAGGAAGGCATTCAAATAATATTTTTGCAAAAACTGTGCTTTATATATATATATATATATATATATATATAAACAGCGCAGTTTGTTTCAACAATTTATATTATTTTTGTGATTTTTTGAAAAAATACTGCCTTCCCGATTGAATTTTTAGCTGAAATTTGGTATGGGTAAACTAGACTTGATGAAAAACATGCTAAAAAAATTTCATCAAAAAATTCCACCGGGAACGGCCCGAAATGCCCTCGGCCGGATGGCTGTTCCCGTCAGGCCGGCTGGACAGGAAGACTACTCTCTCTCTCTCTCTCTCTCTATATATATATATATATATATATATATATATATATATATATCTGACTTGAAGTTAAAGCTATCATTTCCAGTAAATGATTTTCATCTTTTGAATTTCTGGAATATCCTTATAATATCAAAGGAAAGATTCTCCCACAATTTTCCATCTTAACTGGCATTGCCACAATAATCCCTGCAGATGCGCTTTTCCGCTCAGACTTTTTTCCTGGTCTGGGGTGGATGCTGTCGAAGTCTACATGGGATGAATTATCTCCAAAATGGCCAAATGCATATCCTTTTAGGGATGACGCATTTATTTATTGGAAGTTTGATGAATAATATATTTTTTGAACATTTGAGCATTTTCTTTGACGTAATTTTCACTTATTGGGATGATTGGTTGAGACTAAAAGCGAATCACAAAGGTCGTCAATTCATTCGCCCGGAGATTTGCAGAACATACAATTTTGGGGAGCATGTAAGTCTAAATAAGATGTTTTCTATATTTCCCACCACATATTCTCCAACTATAAGGCCAGAGAAACACAATCAAGCTTCCCATTGTACTCCCTCTGTCCCAATTTGATGGTCTTGTTTCTTTTGGGTACAAAGATTAAGAAAGTGTAGTAGAAAGACTAAAGAACCTTACTTTATTGTACTGTTCATCCTTTTACTTTTACCCTCCATTAAAAAGGAGGGGTAAATATGGTAATCCACTTTTAGTTCTTTACCAAAAAAAGAAACAAGACCATCATTTTGGGACATCCCAAAAAGGAAATACAGGACCATCATTTTAGGACGGAGGGAGTAATTTTTTTTATCTAGAGGGAACTCAAGGTAAGGGAGAGCTGACTATGTGTTTCATGCATGATTTGCTTCAAGGGGTATGTGCCCTAGGACAAAGAGTTGAGCTTAGAATGTCCTGGACTTAAAGATGGAAAAAAGTGATATGGATTGAAAGTATAAAAACATTAGGGCATTGGGGCTTGAGGGCTTCATGAGCACATAATGCATTATATAAAAGAATGAAAAATGAAGATTGTCGATACCCTTGGGAGATTATCTATTGACTTTTATAACTGACAGTAGCTATCTGATAGAATTAAGGCTTGTTTGTTGCCATTAAGGAACAAATTTCTCATAATTAGATTGAAAACCTATTAAGTTATACCCATCTAGGTCACACTAGAGTACTGTACATGATCTTGAAAATTTTCTTGAGTTGCAGCTAAGTGCTTGATGGTCATTTTTCAGGGTTCTAGCATGGGGCAGTTTTTCCATCAATATCTTGCACCAATTAAACTGAATGATATCCAGGCATGTATGCACCTGCTTCCTATCTATTATTATTGCCCATTGCTTTGATCTATGTCAACATGTTTATTTAATTTTTGTTGCAAGGTTGACTGGAAGTCGATGGATTTGGGCTACCTCATGGAGGTGAGGGTCCAAGTGCTTAATTAAAAAAACAATTAGCAAGTTTTTAGTTTTTTTTTTTTCCTGAAAAGGAAACAACTGAACGGTTTAGCAATTTACTTCAATTTTGTTTGTTTTAACTGTTTGTGGTTTTTTTTGTGGTAACTTGTAGTTATTTTTCCTCAGGAAAATTATCTGAAGCACTTTGCGGAAATGGTTAAAAAAGCTAAAATGATAGATGGGGCCGATGTTGCTCTAAAAGCAAATAATATGAGCGGTGATGTGTGTATTCAGTACAGAGATCAACTACATTTTGAAGAACTTGCACGCCAGTTTGGCATTTTCGGAGAATGGAAGGTAAATTTGCTTTTAGTGTTTTTAGTTTTCATGGTCTTTTTATTTTGTCAAGGTGTACCGTTGAAATGTCCTGTTGAGGTTTCATTTTTTTTTTGACTATTTTGTCCGCGGGTACAATAGTATTTCTTTTAACACATTCAGCTGTAGATTGCCTGGGAAGTTATCATTTAGGATGAAAAAGATTCTATTTACTGATTGGAGTATATCATATGACTTTATATAGGGTTTAAACTAGGTCTCACTATATGGGCAGTACCATTGCTCATATTTCATTGAACATTGATAAGTAGATATTTAGCTGCACTTACTTTTCACCCAACCTGAACGTGAAGTGTCCGTGAAGCCCCCTTCCTAACTTGGAGGGCCTTTACTCAAAGGGCCTTGAACACCTATTTGCAATAAAGATAAGCATAAGAAACGACTAATTATATTCTGAAGATAGATTCAACATTACATGGCATCTTGAAGGCACACTTGTGAAGCTTGAAGAAGCCTTGAAGCTTGCTGGGGGAGGTTCTAGAGAGGGTTTATACTGTCTCTCACTTGGAAATCCTAGGTTGCCCTCCTCTTTCTTGCCTCCGGTCGGGTCCGGCGGTTTGGTTACCACTTTTTTATTCTTTGGACGTTGGTTATCATGTACGCTCTCACCTTTCCCTTATCATTTACAACCATGGTGAAAGCTTTCCGGCGCTAGCAGCACCTGGTGAAAGCTTTCCAGTGCTAGCAGTACCTCCGTCCTCACACAAGGCGTCAGAGCAGTTGGGGCAGTCCGGAAGATGCAGGGGTCTAGTGGATGGGCACGCTAGAACACGATCTTTTGGAGTTTTGGATTCCCAAAATGTACAGGGACTTGCCGGCTTCAAGACTGCTGCAGGGAGCTGGTAAGTTTTTCATCTCTCAAGGGTGGTTTGCATTTTCATGGTGGCAGCAATGGTTGAGGGGTTCCCGTTGCAGGTTTGGACGCAGCTTCCACTTCTTTATGCCGCGTTATGAATCCCTTGCTTGGCCAAGGCCTGAGATTAGGAGTTGGCAACCACCGGTACACTACGTCTGAAGGCTGGAACTGAAGATGCTCTGGCGTGTTCATTTTGGCTTGTAAACCAGTTTGGTTGTTCACATCTTTTGTTTCTAGGTAGAAGCTGCCCTGTATTGTTTTCCGCGCTTGTTGTTTGATGTTTAGTTTTTTTACCCTCGGAGAAGATGACCAGAAAGCTGACCGTTAGGCTTGATGGCTGGATTCTGCTGGGCAAGGAGGGGGGTCCGGTTGGACCTTGACCAGAAATTTTGCTTGAGGAATTATCGGTGAGTACACCGGAAGGCCTCCGGTTTTATATGGCTGGAATTGAGGCTGTGGTACTGACGAATGCCCGGCTGTGGCCGGACTTGACAGGATTGGGTACAAGGCTGAGATGACAGCCTGTCGAATCCCTGCCTCCCTCATGCTAGCGGGCTGGACAGAGTTGACTGCTGCGGCGCCAAGTATCCTAGGGTTCAAAGCGATATGCGGGTTGGGGCGTGTGCTGATTGAGATGGACTGGGTCGCATTCTCGGTTGATGTTGCGGTGATCTGAAAGTGATAGTGGGCCGCTAGACTGGACTTGACCCGGAAGAAATGCAAGTATGCAACCCTACTGGGCTTTTGTCAAGCAGGGTGGCTGTTCAGAAGGGCGGGTCTCGTTGAAGTGGTCTTTGGTGTTAAGGTGGGTAACTGAGGTTAATTGGTTCAGCCCCTGGTTCTAATTTCTGATGTATTGATTTTTTGGGATTTTGATGGACTGTACTGTAACAGGTTTTGGGCCTTAACTGGTTTGGGGCCCAGGGACTTCGATTTTTGCTTGATTTTGAAAAGCTCTCTCCTCGCCTAACACTGAAAGGTGTGGTGGGGCAGGGGGGGAAGGAATGGGTGGATCATGATATCTATATTTAGGTTAGAAAGATTAGCTTATATGTTAACTTTCTCTGGGTGATTTACACATTTATATTTCATCCAAAAAAATTGAAGGCACACTTGTGGTTGTACCATTATACCCTTCCAAAGTTTCACATTCTATGAAAGGCCAGAGAGTTGGATGCACAATCGTTGTTCATCATTCGCAGCAAAATATCTCCCAGTCTTCATTAACATGGTTTTCAATGGTATCTCCAAGTGTCTTCACATTTTTCAGATCCTTGTAGTTTTATGTATGAGCTTCACAAACATAATGACACTACGTCACCTCTAAATGTCCAACAATTCTGGTTCAAGTTTTCCCCCTTTTTGTGCCAGTATTTCATAGTGTCTACATCCTGTATCTTCCACCCTTATACTGACTAGAGCACAGAATAGTACGAATTCCCTATGGTATTGGCCCTACCTAGATACAACTCTCATTTCAAAACTCCAATGCCAATTCTCTTTTGTATATCTCTTTCACCTCTGCTTTTCATTGTGTATATGTTTGAGGTGGAGTAGTACTCCTTTAAGTAATTTAACAATTATATAATGTATGCCCTTAGTTTGATTCCAAATGAGCTGTTATGTTTTTTTCTTTCTCTTTTTAACCCGATGAACTTGGTTTAAATTAATGACAATAATAACAATAATAAAAAGTACACCAACAATATAAAATATAGGGACCGAAGCCAGTGGTTTGATCCAATTCTTCCAGTAATTTAGTAGCGGTTCAATTCAAATCAAACATGTGCTACATTTTGTTGTATTTTTTTTTTTTTGACTGCTTTATGGTTGTCTATTTCTGGATGTATTTTTTCACCAGGATGGTGTTCCAAGAACGGCATATAAAGGAGTGGTAGTTTTTCGGTATCAGGCCTCAAGACGTGTATTCCTCATAGGTCCCGATTCTCTTCGACAGCTTGGGATAGAACACAATTAACTTTTCTGATATGCGGTGAGCCCATTGCTCTTTTTCTATGTCTATGAAGGGAATGTATGGTTCTTTCCTTTTTTTCCTTTTCATTATTTGAACTAAACTGTTTGACCTCGTGCTCCAAAGATTGGAAAACTACAACCCTCTTCCTCATCCAGCCATTCCCTGTCATATTTTATAATGCTGAAGTCTATTTGTTAACAATTTTGTGGTTGACTGCCTATATGGATGGGTATAATGGGGTTGCTGAATTCATCCAGGATTTAATTAAAAATTTGATAAAGGAAGTAATAAATGCGTTGTCCACCTATGAGCTTATGTTTTTCGCAAAACAGTGTAAACATTTATTCAAACTTCTAAATGTTAGCTTAAGCTTTTAGATTTTAATCGAAATGAGAAAATGAGATACATCTTCTCCCATTTATACGTTTTTAAATTTTAATGCCTCATATATAGCCTTCCAAGAATTGGCATTTATCCTCATAATTATTTCCTGGAGAAGCTGTGGTATTTCCCCCCATGTGCAAGTTTAAGTGTTTACTAAATGATAGAGTAAACTAATGTGTGTGAGTGTGTCATAAAAAATCATATTCAACATAGCTTTTATACTTGTATGATTGCATTTGACCGGAAACATTTTTTTCTTCACGAAGAATTTTAACAGGATCAATGTTTAACTATGGGGTGTAAGCAATAGAACCAACTGACAACACAAGGGGACATTTTCATGTTCAGTACTTCAGTTACACTAGGAGCTTCGTGATCGGTGGTGCGATGTGTTCCAGTGCAGCTCAGTTTTAAGACCTTGTAGGCATAGAGCTCTGGTCCTTAGCGTTACTGTGATGTGGTTTTACATTTGAACTGCCATTTGAGGCACAGGTATTTTAGACACGTCACATGGATTGAACTGCGACCGTATACTTATAAGTTATAAGTTTATAATCAGACTTCAACTTTCTACAAGTTCGTAATTCTCAATAGGACGCAAATACAGACTACAGAATATGTTATGTTTAGTGCCGGTTTGGATGTTTGATTCCTCATCAGTTAATTTTTAATAAACAAACATCTGTGGGAATAGCTATTAAAATATTAATAGCAAGAACTTTATAATAAGGTACAAACAATAATAACAACAACAATATTAAATAACAACAGTAAGAATAATAAAAACATTAACAATAATATTGATGATGATATATATTAGTAATATTAATAATAATATGACTAATAATAATAGTAATAAAATAAAAACAAAACCAATCATAATAATAGTAAAAGTAATAATATACTACCTCCGTTCTCTATTAGTTGCAACATTGGACTTTTTGCACTATTCACATGTTCTACTTTGACTACATTTTATTAATTGATGTATAATAAATTAAATTTTTAAAAAAATATTGTTAAATTCTTCTTATTCTAAATTTTCAAAATATGATTTTTTTTAATTTTTTTGCTAATAAGAAATGAAAGATATTTATGGTCAAACTTGTGCGTTGGCAAACGTGAAATGTTGACTGTTGCAATTAAAAAGGAACAGAGGAAGTACTACGTAAGTAATAAATAATGTTGGAACTTTTTGACTCGAGTGATTCTGATATGATTTTGAATGTTTCTAAAGTGATCTGAATCTTTCTGATCTAATTTGATTCGATCTGAATGTGTTTGATTTTTTTTGAATTTTTTCTGCTCTAATTTGATCTGAATAAAGAATTTTTTCTTTTAGACTGTTTTCAGTATCAGACCATATCAGACCAGACCAGAGTTGACTTCCGTAGTTATAAAATACACAGAGACCAGACAATTACCAGACTAGACCAGATTAGACCAGCAAATTTCAGTTCAAAAGAAAACATCCAAAATAAGAAAAAACAATAAGAATAAGGCGTACAAAGCAACTCTTTAATTTCGTTATTATATAAAATCATATATAGATAGATCAATTCACACTTAAATAGACTAGATCATATCAAACTTGAACAATAGTAAAATATGGAGTATCTATATACAGTCTTTTGACTAGTTTAGATTAGGGGTGGATTGGGCCCGGGCTCTGGGTCATATATATTCAGGCCCGGTACCGGCCCGGGTTAGAACCAGGACCGGGCTGAGCCAGTCCGGGTCCGACAAAAATTAGGTTTTTTTGTCTTTTAGAATTAATTTGAACCCCCACCCCCAAACCGCCCAACCCCATCCACCTAGGGATGGACTGGGCCGGGCCGAACCGGCCCGGAACCGGACCGGCCCGCTACTGTGCGGGCCCGGACCGGACCGGGCCCGGTTGGCCGGTTCCGGGCTTTTAGCCCGTTTTGGCGGGTCGGGCGGGCCGGTTCCGGGCCCTGTTTTTGTTGAACCGGCCCGGGCGGTTCGGGCCGGGCCCGGTTCATTTTTTTTTTTTTTTTGGTTTTTTCAATTTTTTTTCTTTTCCTAGGGTAGGGCTGGGTGTTTTAGGGAGGTTTGGGGCGTGGGGGTGAGGGGGGGGGGGGGTAGGGAGATAACAAGAAAGTCAAAAAAAAAAAAAAAAAAAAAAAACATTGAACCGGGCCCGGCCCGGCCCGGCCCGGTTAGGCCCGGACCCGGTATCAACCCGGGCCGGTTCCGGGCCCATGTAACCCGAAAAAAAGCCCGCCCGGGCCCGGCCCGGAACCGGAACCGGCCCGGCCCGGGTCCATCCCTACATCCACCTAGAACCAGCCCCACTCGATTTTTTTTAAAAATATTTGGGCCCGGGCCCGGCTGGGCCGGTCCACCTCTATAACCTGCCTCTATAACCCCCGGTTCGGGCCCTAGTCACAGACCCCCAGGTCGGGTCGGGTCGAACTGGCCTAGTCCACCCCTAGTCTAGATACCAAACTTAAATGGATCATATTATACGAAAGAAGACATAATCAGATCATCACACTATGTCATATTAATGTCAATTTAATCAAGCGGAAACTTCTTCCGCTACTCTTCCGCTACTCTCAATGGCATATTCAGAATTTTTTATTCAATGGGGGTGAAGTTACATGCAACTATAGCATTAAAAATATTTTTTAAATTATAAATAAAATCATTGATTTGATAAAGTTGTGCTAGAAAAAGAATTAAAATCAAGTTGTGCTAGAAAGTAATCCTCTCATTCTTTCATATTTTAACTTGTAAAATATTTTTGTATTTCTAAATACAAAAAATCTGTTTGTCACACCATTCTACACGTTTCTATACACGTCCACCCCTAATTGTTTGCCGTGTACCCATGCAATTTGTTAAAAAAAAGTTGCAGAAACTGTATAGAAATGTTTATGTGGTGTGTTAAATAAACGTGTACATGCCCCCCATGTGTACAAGAAGATGATTCTTCTAAATTTTGAACACATACGCATACCTATTAGGCTATGGTGATTATTTTCTTTTTCAAAATAAACACTAAAATGACTTCGTTTACGGTCTTGTTAAAAAAATCCGGTGGGGGCAGCTGCCCCCGTTGCCCTATAGTTGATAAGCAATTGTCTCCTCTAGGTTCTAACTACGTGGTCAGACCACGTGGCTAGAACTTAGATCTGGACCCGTGGTCTAGCTAGACCTGTCATATTCCTTTTCCGTTATGTTATACACATGAAAAAGTGATGTCTTTAATGTAGTTACATTGTAAAAGTGATATGACTTAACCACACAATTCTTATTTAACACCTTTTGTAAGAATATATATGCATACTTCTAATTAATTAACATAACTCTTGGATACGCCTCCATCTTCACTTTGCAACATTGGGTTATCCCATCATTTCCATTCCTTATCATGATAATAATACTTTCAGTGCACATATATTTTAAATAGGGAAAAGTGTCAAATATGTCCTCGAACTTTCATAAAAAAGTCAATTAAGCCCTTCTATAGGAAACTCTGTCCGGTCTTCGCGATTTGGGACGGTTCCCGGTGGAATTTTTTGATGAATTTTTTTGAGCATTTTATTCATCAAGTCTAGTTTACTCATACCAAATTTCAGCTAAAAATTTAATCGCGAGCGCATTCAAATTAATTCGAGAACGCAAAAATGCGCAGTTATCTTCAAGAATTAATTTGAATGTGTTCCCGATTTAATTTTTAGCTGAAATTTGGTATGAGTAAACTAGACTTGGTGAATAAGATGCTCAAAAAATTTCATCAAAAAATTCCACCAGGAACTGCCCCAAATCGCGACGGCTGGACAGAACCTCCTATAGAAGGACTTAATTGACCTTTTTATAAAAGTTCGAGGACCTATTTGACAGTTTTCCCTTTTAAATATTATTATGCTCCGTCGACGTGACCTCATGTGCGGTGTAAAGCGTTTAATTGAAGGATAATTTGATCTTGTTTGTAAAAGAAGAATGAAAGAGATATGCTGACCAACTTTCTTGGTCTTGCTTCCAAACTTGTCATGGGATTTGCTTCTAAGCATTATATCAATTGAGCTGTCGATCTAATAATTAATATAAGTACTACTTATATTAATTATTAAAATAATAAACTAATAATATGGTTTAATTATATATATATATATATATATATATATATATATATATATATATATTTGCCTTAATCTTACAAGCAACACAACAGACCCAACGCAGAAAAGAACAACCGCCTTGGCATTTACAGCAATTAATCATTGTTACCTTTTAGACCATTTCTGCGCGTTACTATATTTAACGTAACATATATCCTCATATTATTATTCAATAAGCTAATTAGGAGGCACTTATTAAGTAATTTGATGCTACCTATAACAAACTTCTTTGATCTTTTGAAGTTAAAGAATCATATACATTAATTCAGCGTATTATTCAATAGGGTATACGGTTAATTAATTCAACATATCATTACATGTCCTCAACACCAGTTTTTTATTTTATGTGTAGTCAGTTCTTTATTTATAAGACCAGCTAGATTGCTACTTTCTTTTTGTAATGATAATTATCGAATTATAATTAATTATGTTCTTGTACATATATAGACGTTATACCAAATGTTTTTGTATCAGTTTTTCAGCAAAAAATTTAATAGACGTCCCTTTTATATATTTTTATTTTATACATATATTTCGTATAATATTTTATCCCCATTTGGTAGGAGTGCTCCTAACGATTGAGTTGATTTGGATCGATTAAGAATAAATAAAGACGAAAAAGAATAAAGTTAGCAAATGAGGTAATGAATTATCAAAAAGAAGGTATATATGGATATATCATATATGTGTTAAAATAGGAAGTTCTTCCAATGATAATTTGGATGGATTAAGTGAACAAAGCTTTGATAATGTTAGTGAATTTACTCAATTTAGTGAGGATGGGATTTATGACAGTTTTTGTGGATAAAAGCACATTATTTTATGCACCTAACTCTACTTTTGAGTGAAAAATTAAACTTTGAACCATTCTTGTTGTACACACTCTTATATCCACCTTATACCCACCATATTTGTGAATTTTTTTTATATGTGAATCCGATTCACAGACAAAATAATTTGCACATACATATTTTGTCTATGACCGGGAGTCACAGACAAAAAAACTTTGCACAAAGATGATAAGTATAAAAATGAGTATAAGGTGGGTATAAACAGTTTTTTTTTGAAATTTTTTAATACAATTTTCTAACATAATTAGGGGTCTCTCTCATCTCTTGTCCCTGGTCCACAAGTTGTAACTAACCCTATGACTATGAGTGTGTCGCCCCTATATGAATTTTAAATAATGTCCTTCTAAATTCAATGTTGTACTACAGAATTTGTTTTTATATTTTTCTTAAATAAAACTCTGTAAGAAAGTAATCATAATATACTAAAGCTATTATAATTAATTGCAAAAAGTTTTTTATTTCTAAAAATCATATTTAATTTTTCTTGAAATATTCAAAATTTTCTTGAAACATCAAAGTGGAGAATATTGTGTTATTTATTCTTATTGATATGCAGATGGTTTAAAAGTGTGCAATTTTATGTATAGTACAAACAAATTGATAATCTTTTTATCGAGAAAAGGAAAATTTGAAGTACATATAAAACTACTATCCTCATTCTACAAAATTTGGTCAAATTGAGTTTGTTTGGTCAATGGTAGTAAACCTTGGACATCCTCCATATGATTCTAGTTAATATAGTTATGTGAAGTTTAATTTATACGAAATACATTTTATACTTTACGAAAGTAATTTTAATATTGAAGTACTTGTTTTGAAAGTACATTTTGTTTATGATTGATAGAATTGAATATATAATTACATTGAAACATTTTTAATCATTCTCCGGATCAGTACAACTATTTTGTTTATTACTTTTATTTGTACGAGTATAATTTTTACGGTGATCTTTTTCCTAGGACCCCGAATTGTTAGAGGCCGTCCCTGTAGGACATATGTGACTTTGTTAGGACTAGGGAGTGAGGAGAATATCTTCATTATCTTGACATTGAGTAGTGTTGTGACTGGTTTGGACATTATTATTTAAAAATACTTATGTACTACGTAATAAATTGTTCAAGGTCGTTTTCATGATATTGGTACAACTTTTAAATACCTCATGATATTAACAAATCCTAATAATAACTTATACGTAGTATCTAATTGTATGATATCAATTTTTAATGTCTTAAATGAGTGATAGTGTTTTTTTTTTACAGTAAACATGAGTGATAGTGTTGAAAAGTAAGGGAGAAGGGTATTGGGTTGATTTTAAGTATGAGAAGCTGCCACATTTCTGTTTTTGCTGTGGTGTGATTGGACACGCTGAGAAGGTTTGTCCTCGGTTATATGAAAATGAGGGGCAAGCTGTTGCTAGACCTTTTGGGCCGTGGCTCAGAGCGAGTGGATGGAGAACGAAGCCAAAGATGGGTAGCAAATGACGGCTTTCGGAAGAGAGCTCCCCAGGCGGTGGTAAGCGCGTGGCAGGTACCATGAGGTCGGTACAGGAGATGGGCCCGGAGAAGACAGGAGAGAACGCTCAGGCTGAAATGGGGATTGCTATGAATCTAGGGGTGACACAAGAGGAAGGAGTGCCAGGAGAGCTAAAGAGAAGACGCACTTGGGATGACCGGGCTAGAGAGGCCGGATGCTGCAAAGGAGGCTATGATGCTAGACTTCCCAAAAAACGGGGTTGGGGCGGGTGCTGGACTCCAACCCCGCCTGATGATTTGATGATGGTTTTGGCTATTTTCGTTGAGAAACTTATTTTCCTCTATCGTTTTGCTTTATTTATTTCCCATGTTCTGGATGTTGTTTTTGTTTTGGTTGCGCTGTGTTTTTCCAGCGAAAAGACTTGTGAAACTAAAACAGGAGATGAGGAGTCGTGTCTGCAAGTCATAGGCTATGTTTTGCCCAAAGCGGGATCAGCGAATTATATGGCTTCTACGGAGGCGATTAATTCAGAGTCTGGTCCTTGGGCGGACGGTAGACAGGAGACTTGTTGTCACTTTGTAACCTGTTTTGGTTTGGTCCGGTTGGTCTGTTTGATTATGATAAGTTAAGCCAGTTTCGTTCAAAAAAAAACTTCAAAAACACACAAAACGTTTCAAAATATAGTGTTTAATTCATTTTGAACCGTTTTACTTCTTAAAAAAAATCATTTTGAACCAACAAGGTTATCTACTTATACAATTTGTATATCTTTAAAACATTATTATGTCAGGTTATAATTAAAACAAATCATTTCAAACCGAGCTTTACCAACTTCACGTCTTTGCATGACTTTATATCCGAGACCCAACTGATTCATGTGGCCTAGTTGATTTATTTTGATTTGTAACGTAATCCAACCGAAAAAGTGTAACACATTCTTGAGAAATTCATGTATTATACCATCCATGTTACGTTACCATGTGAATGTACCGTACAAAATGAAATTTTGTCTAGTATAATCCATGTGATGTAGTGGACATTTGTGATCTGGTACAAAATGAGCCTTTGAAATGAAGATCAAGTTTTTTAAATTTAAATCAGTGTATATGCTACCTACTACATTTTCCGGTTGGAAAATGATGTTTGTACCCACTTTTATACCCACTTTTGTACTCACCCATGTTTGTGAAGTTATTTTTTTTTGTCTGTGAATTCCTTCACAGACAAAATATGTCTGTGAAGGAATTCAAAGACATATTTTGTCTATGAACCGGCCTCACAGACAAAAAATAGCCTTCACAGAGGTGGGTATAAGGTGGGTACAAAGTGGTGGGTACAACAAACATGGTTGTTTCCGGTTACATTGGCATATGACACACATTCACATTATATACGCGCCATTTCTATACATGTCTCATACATAGGCCTTGTTTGGTAAATGGTTGTTAGCAGTTGATGTTAGTTGGTTGTGTCAGCTGTTTCTTAACAGCTGATTGTGTTAGCTGTTTTGATCGGCTGATTATGTTAGCTGATTATAAATAACTGTTTGGTAAAATTGGCTGTTTTGAAATGGCTGATAGAGTGTAAAAGGACATACAAAGACATAACAATACTCATTGTATTTTATTATTGCTAAAAATGAAAATTTTATAACTATTGTTACTTCAACTATATAAATCATTTTTATAACTGTAAATTTTAAAATTTGTTGAATAAAATCTATTTTAATACTCCCTCCGGTTCTTAATTAAGTTCCTAGTTTGACTTAACACATATAAGAAATAAATTTGACTTTACTGTGGAGTGCATTGTTTGAACTCTGTTTGACACTGTTTGAATACTGTTTGGCATTGTTTGACACTGTTTGTCACTGTTTGACACTGTTTTGGTGTAAATCATTTGCCAAATAAGGAAAGGTTTGAAGTAGGAACTTTAATATGGACCATCTCAAAAAGGAAAGTAGGAACTTAATTACGAGACGGAGGGAGTATCTACTTTGATATATCAAATGTTCATCATACTACAAACATTTATAATATCTAATTTTATAATCACTACTCAATCATCTAAACCAGAAACATCAAATTAATTCAAGATAGAGAGCATAACTAATAATATAAAATATTAGTTAAGCATATATTATTTGTCTAGATAGTACTACGTATTTGATTAAACAAGTTTTGTTTAAAATAATTAGAGTAATTATTAGTATATATTACTTAAATGATTAATTTAAAAAATGCTAACTCAAAACAATGAAAGCAAAAGGAGTGAAAAGAAGAAAAACTGGTAAGCAAAATTAGGGTTGACTAAGTTAAAAACAAAACGAGCAAAACCATAATGGGAATAAATTGGAGCTATATGGAGTCACTTTGGGAGCTTAGAGCAAAACCAGCCGAATGAAGAAGCTGTTCCCCTTAACTTTTTCAACCATCCATTTTTTCAGCTTTTCAAACTCAACAAGCTAATTTTAAAAGTCATTTACCAAACATTATTAATAGCTTCTTTGACTAATCAAACAGCTGAAATGAGTCAAACAAGCTAAGATAAGTCATTTGCCAAACATACTCTATGGAAAATGTCTCTACAAAAGAATAGTCTTCACAAACCGTATAGAACGTGTATGGAAAGGCGTGTACAAATAATAATTTTGTAAAAATTGCATTTACTTAACTTAGAGCTTATTTGTGACAATGTTTTTCGGTTTATCAGCCAACTTTTTTACTAAACACGTAACTTTTGATTTCGCGCGCTGAATTGTGTAATAATAAGAAAAAGTAAGTTTGAAATTAATTTTCTGACTGTAATGGTTGAATTTACTGAAGAGGATCATTTTAGTTATTTTTTCATGTAATTTTTTCTTTATTTTATTAATAAAATATATTCAAGTGTGAATGAGTAAAGTGTGACAAAGGGGTGTGGTGTAGTTTTTAAGAAAAAGTAGAATTGTGTAGTTGATATTGAATTAGTAAAGTGTGAATGAATTCTAACCACTCAAATATTACAAATGTCGTACATGACAACCTTAATGAGATAGACGAAAAATGTAAAATGAGACAAAATTAGAGAGACAGAGTGAGTATATAATTTTTTCACAGATCATCTGAATTAGCCAATATTCAATCGATTTCAATCTTAACAAACTCGCTCTTAATTAGAATTCTACGGATGGTGACAAAGTCGTCGCCCGTTTTCGAGTCGTCCCAGCCAGCTATCTGATTTTCACGTATTAAATATTCTTATCCAAAAAACCAGAATTTCCAGAGGGGGTCCATACTCTCTTCTTGTTTTTACTTTTTAGAGAAGAACACCGCAATTTTAACAAACCGGATCGAAACCTCAGCATAAACAAAAGAAGAAAAGCTTACGTGAAAGCAAAGATAAGATCAAAGATTTTCCAATAATAGCATTTTACATTCTTCAAAGCAACAATCTTTCTCGGTCTTTCTCCATTTGTAATATATATATATGCAAGTATATAAACTTCACAGACTGGCAAAACTTTGAACCAGTCATCACTCGTCACCAGCTTCACTGTGAGCACACCCTCCTAACAAACTGCTCTTTATCTGCATCATGCATTAAGCCATAAAGTTCTTCTTTCCCACAATCTTTCCATCTTTGTAGGTCGTCTCCAGGTAATTGTAACAACTAATTGCAAATATTATTGGGTTCTTGCCTATGTAATAGGAACATTTAGATGACCATGGTTTACTAATTATTTGGTATTCATTCAATTTTTCCTACTTAATGGCTTCTTTGTGACTTTGTTCTGTTGACCTTAGATTCTTAGCTTCTCAAAGCTTGGCATGTTACTGGGTCAAATTGAACATTTAAAAATTAAAAAGAAAAACAGGGTAAGACTTTGGATTAGCACACAATTACACATTAGTCAATACAGAGCATAAATCATGAATGTATGTAGTAGTGGTAGTACTCTTCTCATCAAGTTGACATTTTGATCGGTGTCACACTCTGTTAAGCTTAAATGCGTGATATAATCCTTGTAATCCTAAAAAACTAGCACAGTTACTTTAATATTGATATGTTTTAATTTTTACTTAGTGACGATCTTGCAGGTCATGTTTAATTGGGTCATCCCATAGATATATAAATACAAACCAAACCCAAGCCTTAAAATGGAGAAGTGTGTTTTTCTGTTTGTATATGCTTTAAGTAGACTCTATAGGATAGTTTCACTTGCAAAGTAACTGACTTAGCACTTCTGCAGCAGTTAAATAGCATACGGCTTCTCTGAGTGTGGTGGGAAAGCAATGAATTCAGCTCCATCCCTTTTGGGCATCCTTAGTTTCTTTCTTTTGGGGATTCTTACCTTGAACCAATGTTCTGGAACCACAGTCAATACACAGTTAGCATTTCTCCATGTGGATGCCTCAGAAGCATCAGCAAAGAAAATACCAAACACTTTGTTCGGTTTATTCTTTGAGGTAAGCCGTTCGGATCGAATAATTTTACTACTACTATTACTACTACTTAATTAATATGATTCAGGTGTGATCTTATTAGTTCATTTGCATTTTCATTGGTGTATGTTGAATAATATATGGTTATATAACATTTGCTTACATTTTTAGCACCTGCAACTTTTGTTCCTTCTGACTTGTCTGGAATCCCTGGTTTAATTCATCAGTTCTAGAATTCATAATACACACATTTGCTCATTTGGTCAAACCGTATTAAAAGATTGAATCATATTGATTCCATACTCTGACTCAATACATCAATGTCTTAGATTTATATATAAAAAACCATCCAAAGTTTTGTTATTTTGTATAAATCTTTACGTGTCTCTTTAGTATTTAGATATTATACTCTTAAAATGCACTAATTCTAGGAAAATATTTTATTTCAGGAAATTAATCATGCTGGTGCTGGTGGGTTGTGGGCGGAGCTTGTGAGCAACAGAGGTTTGCTGAACAGATACTTGTTTTTCTTCAGTGGCTGACTTAAAGTCATTGCCTATAATGATTTTCTTTATCTTGATTACAATGACTGCCTTTGCTTTCCGAGTATGTGCATATATTATATCTGTTGGGGTGAAACCCAGGTCCATTACTTGAGAAATACTGGAGAATTACTTTAAATATAAGTATCTACCCAACTCCATTAGTATGAGGCCTTTTGAGAGATGTCTAAAAACAAATCCTTACGATTTTAGCCCAAAATGGGCAATAGGATACTAAATGTGCAGCTAATGTGATGTTTGTCGTCCTAACAATATCTGCATTTGGATTTATGTTAAAGAGATTCTCAATTGTACTTCTAATCCAAGAGTATATGCTTGTAAGATTGTTTTGATAATATTTAATTTATTTCATTTGTTTTCGGAAACTTGATTTCAGGTTTTGAAGCGGGGGGTCAGAATACACCCTCCAACATTGATCCTTGGTCAATTATTGGGGATGAGTCCTCATTGACGGTCTCCACAGAGCGTTCTTCTTGCTTCGAGCGGAATAAAATTGCACTTCGGCTAGATATTCATTGCGGCAATAAGGGTGCTAATACCTGTCCATACGGGGGAGTTGGTGTCTCCAATCCCGGATTCTGGGGCATGGTTAGATATCTAGCTCTTGGTCATGTAACTAGGTTATAATGCACGTTGGCACACTAAAAGATCGAGTCCAATAGATTAACCAGCATAACAAAAGATTTGTTAATATCCAAAGGAGGACTACTATCCAGGACCACATGTACTCATATTTCTCTTGTTGTTCACCTTTTGTAGAACATAGAGGAAGGGAAGAGTTATAAACTTGTGTTTCATGTCCGTTCACTTGAAAGCCTTAATGTTTCAGCATCACTGACTTCATCAGATGGACTAAGGAAGTTGGCTAGTGCCGAGATAATGTAAGCAAGATTTAATATGGTTTTTGATCAAGTATTATTGCTGCCTCTCGAAACGTACAAGGTGTTTTACTTATTTCTAAAATGCAGTTCTGGTGATGTTTCAAATTGGACAAAGATAGAGGTGGTTCTGGTAGCAAAGGGAACGGATCACAATTCTAGACTAGAACTGACTACAACAAAGAGTGGTGTTATATGGTTTGATCAAGTATCATTGATGCCTCTCGATACATACAAGGTTTGCATGCCTGCCAATTTGTTTAATGCGAGATTAATATTCGTTAATTGAATGAGGATAAACAAAATTTGATTTTCTAGTTATGCCGTATGGTTAATCCACATTTTATCTTTCACTATTTCTCTATGTAATTAGGGACATGGTTTCCGAAATGATCTGTTTGGAATGATTAAATATTTGAAACCGGGATTCCTCAGATTTCCAGGTATATCTTGTTTTAGATTGTTTTACATTGAAGCACTACAAATTTAGACTTAAGATTCTATTATTAAAGGGTTCGTCGAATCACTAGACTAGCCCAAAGCCTTATATAGTTAGAGTATCACAAAGCCTTATATGTAAGTTTGTATCTTTATATTTAGATGGAGTAGGAGGTCATAACAGCACATATGCTCTTTCAAGAAAGATAAATGTGAGAACAAATAGCAATCCGAAGCAAAATGCTGTTGGTACAAACTTTTTGTACACATGGTGTACACCCCCCTAGTTGTGTGTCTAAACAGGAAATTCGTTCAGTAGCAGGGGTGTACACCATATGTGTACACCAAGCATTGCTCCGATCAGAATGACCAATCAAAAGATTAAAAACAGTAATAATATTGGCTTGAACAAGATAAAGTGGAATTAGGTACTACAAAGACAAAAAGGAAAGGTCCATCTATAACTAGATATTAAATTGTAATTATATATCGCCATTTTTACTTGATCTTTTATAAATGTTAATCTGCTGGCATTAACTAACTATACCTATATGACAGTTGTGTGCGTTTTTTCATCTTTCATGCATGCGGTATGCCTCAGTGTCTTAAACATGGTTTGAGCTTATCAAATTGATTAATGTACATATGTGGTTTGTAGGTGGATGTTTTGTTGAAGGTGAGTGGTTAAGGAATGCATTCAGGTGGAAAGAAACGATTGGACCATGGGAAGAGAGGTCGGGGCATTTTGGTGATGTTTGGCATTACTGGACCGATGATGGGTTAGGCCACCTTGAATTCCTTCAGGTAATCAATATCAATATAAGAAGAACATAATCAAACACATCAGCAAAAATGTTTTTTATACTTTTTATAGATTAAATTTCTACAAGTAACAATTTTCATTTTGTGTGTCCATCAGCTGGCAGAAGACTTGGGTGCACTGCCAGTATGGGTCTTCAACAATGGTATGGCCATTACTTACCACCTCAACGTGGGTGCATTACCAGTTTCTTCATATTTTAAGGCCCTGGACAATTTTTGTATTTTACCTAAGCAAGGGTAAACATTTTATTTTTTTTTTGAAAAAAAACATACATGTTGTGGGCCTCAAAAACCATGTTGGGTCTCCATACTTCAACTGTCCTGTTTTAGTTTTGAATGAGATACAACTAATGGACTTAAAAGAATTGCACGCTAGTTTTTGGAGGCCCGTGATGGTTTCCCATACTGCCCTGTTTAGCAATCCACCAGGACGAGTCCATCTAGCACTTTTAGAACATGATTTAACTCAAGTAGAGAGATGAATGATGATATAAGAATTCACCCTCTTTTCCTAATCTCATTTTCAGGAATCAGCCATAATGATCAGGTTGACACGTCAAGCATCCTACCATTCGTGCAGGTAGGATAGATAATGGCTAATAGATTATTTAGGTGGTAATTTGCCAACTTAATTATCTCACATTTGTTGATACCGAATGCAATTTTATCTTTAACAGGAGATATTAGATGGTATAGAGTTTGCCAGAGGCGGTCCCACCTCGACGTGGGGTTCCGTTAGAGCTGCACTGGGTCACCCTGAGCCCTTTGATTTGAGATATGTTGCAATAGGAAATGAAGACTGTTGGAAGTCAAAATACCGTGGTATGCACACTTTTTGTAACTTATTTAGTATGAGCCTAACTCAGCCAAAAATGATTCTCAAGATAGAAGATTTGCCTCATACTTGTATAAATCTCGTCAACATATGATTTGCGAGACTTACCACTTAACACGCCTCTCAGTACAATCCATACTTGACTAGACAAATCAAGGTGGATAGATAGGTCAAATCGAGTTTATATTGACTACTTTAATTATGGGTTGTCAAATACAACAAAACACAACCAGATGAGGCTTTTTATGCCATATTAAATTTGGGCCTAACTAACCCTCCAAAAGCGAAGTTTACCTCATAAACAGCTGATGTTTAAACATTGATATGAGACACTTGAACATCTTATTGATACAACTTCGTGGTGGATAAAATAGCCAAACCATTCAAAATAGGAAAGTACACGTTGATTAAAATAGCTTGACTTTTTTCAAGATAGTATTTATATAATATGAGTTGGAAAAAATCATATGAGTTGGAACCAGCTTTTCTTGATCAGATGGTAACACAATTTTTGCACACTTAAACGCCACTATTATTCCGTGATTCAGGAAACTACCTCAAGTTTTACTCTGCAATCAAACAAGCCTATCCAGATATTAATATAATATCGAACTGTGATGCCTCTTCTCAACCATTGAATCATCCAGCTGATTTATATGATTATCATGTAAGCTACTCGCTAATGCTTTTTTCCTTTTCACCATATACTACCTCCGTCCCATTATCTAAGATACATGTGAATTTGACACGGGTTTTAAGAAAATAAAGGATAAAGTGGCTATTTTACAATTCTACCCCCTTAAAGTAAGATGGGTCGACAAAAAGCAGAGTAAAATGATAGATGAAGGGATATAGTAGGAAAGTAAAAAGTTGGTGGAATTCAATTCAGGAAATTGTTCATATTTTTGGAACAACCTAAAAAAGGAAAATGTATCTTAGAAAGTGGGACGGTGGGAGTAACAAATAGTTGGAAATACCTAAAATGTAAACACTTTATGTGATTAGATTTATAGCTCTGCAAGTGATGTCTTCTCTTTGGCCAACAAATTCAATCATGTGTCACGGAGTGGTCCAAAGGTATGCTTATAGATTTCTCACTTCTGAGGTTGCTTCTAATTCTGAGTGGTCAATCCGAATCCAATATACTTTATGTTTATGTATGTAGGCTTTTGTAAGTGAGTATGCTGTGACTGCCAAGCAAGATTGTGGTAAAGGCAGCCTTTTAGCTGCACTAGCTGAAGCTGGGTTTCTTATTGGAGTTGAAAGAAATGGGTATATGCTTTTTTCATCTTTTCCCCTTTTAGGTGTGACTGAAAGTAAAAACTAGCAAGGACTGTAAGGTTTTTAAGTCTAAAGAAGCTTTGGGTTAATTCCATCTACTACTTAGAGTGTGCAAAATGATCAAAATGTGAATCCTCAAGGTTTCTAAAAGTTAAAAATTTTCACAAACGACTCTGAAAGATTATATCAAATGTAATGAAAGCAGAACTTTGTTTTTTGGACTAAGTTACCCTTCAGTTTCAATTTGAAGACACAATTTTGTTGATACCATCATATTGTATATCAAATAAGCCATTTGACCTAGAGAACTATTTTGTAATCTGACTAAACCTCGGGGGATGTAGGAGCAGTAAGCCGATAACATTGAAGTGGTTAAAGGTTCATGTTATTACAGTCAAAGGATTTGATTTGTAATTTTTGCAAATCTTGAGGTTATTTTGTACTTTGACCCAACCTCGGCAAATGTACATGTAGTTAAACCAAATATTTTTGAAGTAAAACCCGTCTATAATATTGTTTCTTCGTCGTCTTATTTTTTCTTGCGAATTTTCCTTCCATGCAGTGATGCGGTTGAAATGGCAAGTTATGCACCTCTGTTTGTCAATGAAAATGACAGGACGTGAGTTGTTAGCCTTGACATTAACATCCTTAATCTATTTTAAAATGGTCTTTTGGGCTCTACCAATGTGAACTTCCTTAGGAACAAATTTGTATTTTCTTAGGTGGAGCCCGGATGCGATCGTTTTCACTTCTTCACAAGCATATGGAACACCAAGTTACTGGATGCAGCAATTCTTCAGGGAGTCGAATGGGGCAACTCTATTGAACTCTACCCTCACTTCTAACATTTCAAGCTCTCTGCTTGCTTCTGCTATCACTTGGCAAAACCCTGATGATAATCATGAGTATTTGAGGATTAAGGTTTGATTATTTTCATGCAATGATGTGATACTGGATTTGTTAAAAATTTACAGGGAATGTCCAGTAGAGTATGATGATTTGAATGTGCTTTTCCTTGCAAAATTGCAATTAGCATTTAACTCCTGCATTTAGAACCTGTTTGGTAAGAATTGAAATGGTTGGATTTAAATGAATCTATAGGAGTTGAAGTTATAGGTTATTCAGTTGAATTATCTAAACAATCTATTTAGATATATCTACTTAAATATATCAAAGAAAATAATATAAAAATTTAGGTAGAGGTATCGATTCCAGCCATTTCACCCAAAAAGAAACCTGTACACTTCCTTTACCTTTTCATACAGTGAAATGAATTAGTGTTTGGTGAAAAACTAGCTTATAAGTCAAAGATGGAACCTACCAAACGGGCTTTGAGTGTCTGGGTGACGTTTAGTTTACCATTTCTTATATTCATTATACACTTGGTACATCTATGCACAGGCGGTCAACTTCGGGGCCAGCAATGTGACTCTTAAAATCACTGTAGATGGACTTGAGCAGAACTCCAAACAGTTATTGGGATCAACAAAAACTTTGTTAACCTCTAGTAATGTACTGGATGAGAATTCCTTCACTGAGCCTACAAAGGTATGGTCATCATTTCTAGCTAGCTGCATTCATTAGTAAAGATTCTTCTACACGTCAGTTCATATGGCAAACATGGAGTTAACACCGATATAAAACAACTAACAAGCATTAAGTGATCTGTTAGTGGTGGCAATGAGTCGTTTCCCATTCCAGACCGGTGGTTTCTGGATCCATGGACTGGTGGAAGGGGGTAATAGGAACCTATTGGTCGATTCTGGTCCTGTTCTGGACTAAAATCAAGATCGTTAGCTGACCTCAATGAACCAATATAAAAGCTTAAGCCATTAGCTGGACTTCATTTTCAGTCTTTATATTATTACATCTATAACACATTCTCACATGTGTGGACTGGTATTCTTTGATGTGCCAAACAGAGAGACTATGCGCAAACATAGTTTTAATTTCGAGTGGCAGAGATGTTTTGAAATAGAACATTTGACCATCAAAACGTAACCCGCTTTGTTTATTACTACTCAACATAATTTATCTCCTTAACAAAAAAAACTAATCATGCTTTTGTCACAATGTCTGTGAGTTCTAGTAATCAATAATTGATATTTTCAATTTTGGGGTTTGATGCAGGTCACACCTACAAAAAGCTTGCTGCAAATGACAGGTGAGAAGCTGGATGTCGTGCTCCTTCCACATTCCCTCACTTCGTTCGACTTCTTACTAAAGCCGAATGGAATCAGGACTCTGGAATCTGATTCTGACCATAAATCTTCATACTGAGAAGGGCTACGCTGTATATATATCTGAGTCTCTGACCAAAAAAGAACAGAATAAAACAATGTATAAATATCTATATGTAATGTGCAGAGCTCTGCACAAACTACTTATGGTGATCCTTGTTTCTACTTTCTTTCTGTGAAAAAAATGGCTTGGTCTAAAAAATCATGGTAGGTTGCTATCTGCACAAGTAGGAAATCAAACAAACAAACATTTATAAAAACCTGCTCATTTATTTGAAAAGGAAAAGACCTGCTAACAGTCTAACACTAAATGATCCATCAATAGAACCAGCTAACCACAACTTCAGCTTATAAAATAACAAGCTCAACAGAATTCACAATTTTAGTTGATTTATGTGTGTCATCCTTGCGCAAAGGTACTAATCTTGTCTATATCTTCCAATTTTATCCAAGGGAAATACTACTCTGGGAGTCCTCGTTATCTATAGTTTAAATCAGTTTATATTATTGCCGGTGTGGGATAAGAAGCTGTACTGAATATGTAAAGAAAACATATATCTTAGGAAGAGACGATCCTTTTTACCTTTAGCAGTTTAGTGGCCTAAAGAATACCAGCCCAATAATTTCTGCCCGCTGTAGTAACAAGTAATGGACTTTTAAGTTGTAACTTCTCTAATCTTCGAAAAAATGTTTTCTTTTGTCAGCATTCAACTTTTTGTCTTTTTCAAAAACAAGATGTCTTTTCACTCGTTTGTACAAACGGTAACTAATAAAATGTGGAATTAATCTCTGTTTGGCTAAACTTTCCCAACTTGAATGAACCTTTGAGGATGCAAACAAATAGGGTGTTCTTAATGCAATTAGAACACACACAATACCCCTGCTATTCACCAAGATATTGAGCTAAAATAGTAAGCACACACCACACAAAAACACCGGAATTTTAGCGTGGAAAACCCGTTAACCAGGGGAAAATCATGGGACCATTTTGGCCGCTTAAATCCACTATCATCATCATCAAAGGAGCAGTACAAAGTCTTCTCTAGATAATACTAGAGGCATACAAAATCATCATATCCTTGGAAGTAAGCACATCAAGGTGTATGGAACCAAATAGAGCCAAGATAAGAAAAAATATCACCAGAAAAATAGCTACTGTCCAGACCAACAAAACACAACCTCCAAACCTCAAAACCCGATCTCCACCATCCAGAATGTTGGCCCAGATGCTGTGAAGCTGCTGTCCAAAAATCACGACGATCCAACAGTTCAATCTCTAGGAAACGAAACTTTTCCGCTGCTGCCTGCTGAAAAACGAGATGAGCATTTTAGCTCATGTTTTGTGACTTGTTGCTCTTATCTGCTGCTCTCTTTCTGTCCTCATAAAATGAGATAGTAGCTGACCCATATTTTATTATTAGCTCCCAAAAACAGAAAGTCAAAGAAGACTTTTAATGGGCTCAAAGTTGGGCTTTCCTCATGGGTCAAAAACAAAGAAAGAACCCAACAAATCTCCCCCCTTTTGACTTATGAGGAAGAGTTTGCCATACCGGCGATGGAGCAACATACCTTCAACTTTTTCCTTGCTAGAACCTTCGTCAACAGTTTTTCTTCAAGTGCATCTCTAATCCAATGATACCTCACATTAATATGTTTGGTTCGTTTGCGAAACATAGAATTTTTAGCAAGGTGAATGGTACTTTGATTATCACAAAGAACCACATAGCGCTGTTGAATAAAGCCAATCTCTTGCATAAATATTTTGAGCCATAATAGCTCCTTACACGCTTCTGTTGCAGCCACATACTCAGCCTCGGTGGTGAATAGAACCACACACTTTTGCAGTCTCGATTGCCATGACATAGCTCCCCCTGCAAAGGTCATCAAATATCCAGAAGTGGATTTCATGTTGTCCTTATTTCCTGTCATATCAGAATCAGTATAACCAACAAGTACTGGCTTCCCATTTCCAAATGTTATACCCAATTTGGAAGTACCTCGTAGATATCTGAGAATCCACTTCACTGCTTCCCAATGCTTCTTACCTGGAGTTGACAGAAAACGACTAACAACACCCACTGCATGAGCAATATCAGGTCGTGTGCACACCATAGCATACATCAAACTCCCTACAGCTGAGGCATAAGGGACTCTATCCATCTCTTCATTCTTCTTCTCAGAAGATGGGCAATCTTTATCTGTCAACCTGAAGTTGGTAGTAAGAGGTGAACCAACCTCTTTAGCTTTATCCATGTTGAATCTGTGAAGCACCTTCTCGATGTATTGTTCCTGTGACATATGTAGCTTGTTCAAAGCTCTATGTCGAGTGATACTGTCACGCCCCGAACCTACCGGACACGTCAACAACCCGCCGTACAGTACGAATAGTCAACCGCAGTCCAACTCATCCATACTATACTAGGCGTCTTGAATACCATTCACACATTGGAAGCACTTGACAAGTACAATGACAACTATACTAAGTATAATCAGTGTTTCAATTTCTAAGACCCTCAAATAGAGTGATATTATATTATAGGCCATAACCCTTGGTTACCCTCTTTGAAAATATAGTTACTTTATATATAAAGTCAAGTAGTCGTCCCGTAGGCCCATGTTTACTTTGAAAACGCCCAACCATTGCCCCGTGGCTACAAGCCACGCTCATCTATATTATTTCGTCATGCTAGAGGCTTACACTAGTCATGTCCCGTCGTGCTAGAGGCTTCCTCTAGTCACTCCACTTTGTGTTAGAGGCTTCCTCTAATCGCCCTACATACGTTGTGCTAGAGGCTTTCTCTAGTCACCCTACGTGATGCTAGAGGCTTACTCCAGTCATCTTACATGACGCTAGAGGCTTACTCTAGTCGTTCTACATTATGCTAGAGGCTTACTCTAGTCATTCTACATTGTGCTAGAGACTTCCTCTAGTCACTACTTACTATGCTAGAGGCTCCCTCTAGTCACGCTATTAAACTACCAAGCAAATTCTATGCCTAGAGTTACTTTATTATGAGTAGTCTTTGATGCCTACTTCTAACATAACTTAGCGTTTACACATTTCTACCTCAAAGCGTCTCATAAGACTACTTAAGGTACATCTTTCACAATCCAAGCCCTTAGGATTTGTTCTAGCACTTTTCATACTAACATTTCTGACTAGTATTTCAATACTAGTCAAATAATCTTAAAGCAACCGAGTTCGTAATCCATACTCATAAGGTTCATTCTAGTTGATTTTCCAATCCAAATATAATTTAATCACAATACCAATAATATCACTTTTATCCATTCATGACTTCTCTACATGAAGTAAAAGTATATTTTATCTCAACATTCAAAGTTAATTCAAGAGAAATTGCCTCATATAGGAGTAAAACACGAGAGAAATTCTAAAATAGGAGTATGTATGTTTTTCCCCAAATAGGTTCATATTACTCCTATTCAAAACATATAGACTTTTCTATTCCATTCTTGCCCCTATTTTGTTTAACCGGTGATTGATCCACTCTCCTGCTCACAATGTTCTCCTTTATGCGCATCATCACCTCCCCTTCTCCATCGATCACTTTCTTCTCCCCTGCAAATTAGATCCGTCGACTTCAACTTCAATCTATGCAAATAAAATTGATCAACTTCTTCTCCGCATGCCATCGCCGATTTCGTACCTAGCCATATCTGTCGTCGTTGACTCCAACACACCCTGTCTGCAAATCAGGTTCCTCCTCCCATTATTCGTATTTCCATTTTTTGATTTCTCAGTTTTTCCTAATTTTCTGAATTTTTGGATGATGGCATAATTTTTTGCCAAATTTATGGCAAAAATGTACACTGACAATCGTAAAATGATAAAAAAAGCTTTGGTGTAAAATGGTTTACTGATTTTTATTATTAGCTTCTTGTTTTTTATTTAGGTGGATTGGTTAAAGTAATTGTTCAATTTTGTTAAACTGAATATTTAGTACTTGACTTCATATTTTGCCAAGATTATGGCAGTTATGTGTAAATCTGCCAACACTAAAATACGTGCATGAAACTTTTAAGGAACCGTTATTAAAAAAATAAAAAAAGGTATTAATAGTAGTAATAATAATATAATAACAATCATAACCACCACCTCAATAATAATACAATACATATTTAACTAACAATTCTAATTTTTCTTCAAAAAAATTAACAATTCTAATTTAATCAAGTTTTGTTCCATCACATAAATTTTATAAGTATAAAATAACACAAATAACTTATAGTCGATTGCACATATTTTGCTTTACTATTTTAATGATATTTCTAAGTATTAGATTTATTATAAATCATGGTACTAGCAAGTAGAATGCAATAGTGTTTTATATCTATACATGCTACTATGATGATGACTTTTATGTTTTATTTATTACATGAAAAAGTAAATCATTGTTTGTTCTATTAAGTGTTCACAGTTCACTAGTTAAGTTTGAGTGTTGTTGTTTGAAGTGATTAGAGCTTCAAATAAAATTTTAATACTCATGTTTTGAATTTTCTACGTGTTTATTGACTTGATTCTTAGATGAGAAAAATTATTCTAGGAACCGGTAAAAGGAAGGAACCGAACCGTTTAGTAATGGTTCAGTTCCATAACGGTTCTTGATTTTTTATACAGGAACTGAACTGATTTCATTTGTTAAAATTTTTATAACGGTTCCACTCATTTTGAGTAAGAACCGAACCGGTCCCAGCCCTATTAGATTCTATCAAACAGTCAATTTAATTCAAGTGAAAACATCTTCTGCTACTCTGAATGGCGTACTCTGAATTTTATTCAATGGGGGCGAAGTTACATACAACTATAGTGATAGATAGTGATATCAGGATGCCACTAGCAGTATGTACTGTTGTAGAGACGAAGGTAGAGCTAGAAAGAGAAAGTGAGAATTTAAATTAACTACCCATCTCTACAAAACTCCCAAAGGGAAGTATGTATAGAAAAAATGTTGGCTAGACTGTTAGGTTGGGCCTAGTAGGCCCAATTACATAAAAGGGGCTAATAGAGTGTACAAAATCTAATCCTTGGAGGGGTGTTCTGAAGTGCCGAGAGCTCATGGCCGAGCACTAATGACCGAGGGCCTGCCAAGGGATGCTGTCGAGGGCCTGCCGATGAGTTCCGCTGAGGGCTTGACAAGGAGTTCAGTCGAGGGATTATGCCGAGGGCTTGTGTTTAGGTTGCATGAGTATGTGGATCAGGGGGTCTTGGACCATTACAGAAATACTCCATCATATATCATTAAAAACATAT